ACACACACCATTGTGCTTTGGTTAAAGATATAGCAAAAAGGGGTGGCAATGATACCATTTTCAATAGTTTCCCATCAAGATTGTCTATACCTGGTGGCTTATCATTATTGATGCAAAACAATCGTTTTTCCACCTCTCCCACACCAACTTGACCAAATTCAAAACAGCAATCCTTTTATCTTTTATACAAAAATATGTTTCACTGTTAAATGTTGTCATTTCACTTCTCAGTTTTTCCACTTTACTAGTGAAATAGTAATTGAAATGATTGGCAATATCGAAAGATTTTGTTATGTTACTCATCAATGTCAATGAACGATGGAGATTAATTGGGTTTTCTGCCCATGATATCAATGAAGGTACTCAAGTCTTTTTCCGTTGTGTTTTATGCAATTTATCTTTGTTTGGTAATATAAATTCTTATTTTTTAAGTTTATTCACAACATTTCTCAATTTACAGTATGTCAACCAATCAGCTGAGCAGCCTGACCTGTTAGCCACTGCTTTTGCATCATTTATTTGAACCATACAATTTTCCAATTCAGAATCAATCAAGGGGGCTCTATCAGTTCTCACATTTAGTTTCTTAACAGGTGCATGCTTGTTAACAATTACCATGAATAATTTTAGAAATACTTCCAGTGCTGCATCTGGATTCTCTTCCTCATACACATCAGACCAACATACATTTTTTACATCTTCAACAAAATAATCCCGAGAACGTTTTGCATGATCTCTTATAAATTACTTTAGGCCCAACCTTTGGCACTTTGGCTTTCCTTGTTATTGCCACAATTGTATGTTCAGTACAGTATATGGAAATGGATATTGCTTTGGAGCAAAGCTCTGCAGCATTAGTGAAGATATGATCAATACAAGTGGATGTCACAGATCCAACACTATTGATATGCACTCTAGTTTGTTGCGTGATGGGTCATATTGCAGGCATTAGTCACAGTTAGAAGCTTCCTCTTGAGAGGACAGCTAGTTGCTAGCCAGTCAATGTTCAGGTCACCCAGAAAATAGACAGTGGTGTAGTGATGCCTGGAGAAGTGAGTATACTCTATTTTTGCCAACAATTTCCCAAGCGGCCCGCCCGGCAAAGGAAATGCGCCCTGTGTAAAAACTTCTATGAGAAACATTGACAAACATTCTGAATGACCTGAAATTATAAATCCCATATTGGTATTTCACAGTCAGGCCAACCAAGCTATGCTGTGCAAATAGGCTAATAGTTGGAAACAGATCATTGAGGCTGTCAACAGAGTAAGGAATTAACATGTTTCTGAGTTTGAACATTATTTTTAGGTTTTTGCTCTGTCACACTTTTTAAATAGAACATACAAGTGCATAACATTGCTTAAACCACATCAGGAGACCACTTTTGAGGTCTGGGAAAAATCTAAGAAATGTTTATTTTGAGTGTAGTTACCCTTTAATTAAATTGCACAGGCACCTAGCACTGTTGTTTGGTTAGCAGTGTTTCTGTAGCACATGAGATGGCGTTTGCGAAACAAATGGCCACTAGATCGATTCAAATAATCATGATATCATTCTGCTAGGCTACTTTGTAGTTAACATTTAATAGAGAAGGTTTTTGGGAAAGCCTTTCCATCTACCAGAAGATGGTTAGGCCTATCATTAGCATCGCTATATTGTTCCTGTTCTTTCTTTGTTTGAAACCTGGACTTTTTACTTCATATTATGAGGCATGTCTTACCTTGCTTCAAATCAAATCAAATTTTATTGGCCACATGCGCCGAATACAACAGGTGTAGACATTACAGTGAAATGCTTACTTACAGCCCTTAACCAAAAATGCATTAATTTTTTTATAAAAAAGTTAAATAAAACAACAACAAAAAAGTGTTGAGGAAAAAGAGCAGAAGTAAAATAAAATAACAGTAGGGAGGGTATAAATACAGGGGGGTACCGGTGCAGAGTCAATGTGCGGGGGCACCAGCTAGTTGAGGTAATATGTACATGTGGTAGAGTTAAAGTGACTATGCATAAATAATTAACAGAGTAGCAGAAGCGTAAAAAGATGGGGTGGGGGGGCAGTGCAAATAGTCTGGGTAGCCATGATTAGCTGTTCAGGAGTCTTATGGCTTGGGGGTAGAAGCTGTTGAGAAGTCTTTTGGACCTAGACTTGGCACTCCGGTACCGCTTGCCGTGCGGTAGCAGAGAGAACAGTCTATGACTAGGGTGGCTAAAGTCTTTGACAATTTTGTGGGCTTTCTTCTGACACCACCTGGTATAGAGGTCCTGGATGGCAGGAAGCTTGGCCCCAGTGATGTACTGGGCCGTACACACTACCCTCTGTAGTGCCTTGCGGTCGGAGGCCGAGCAGTGGCCATACCAGGCGGTGATGCAACCAGTCAGGATGCTCTGGATGGTGCAGCTGTATAATTTTTTGAGGATCTGTGGACCCATGCCAAATCTTTTCAGTCTCCTGAGGGGGAATAGGCTTTGTCGTGCCCTCTTCACGACTGTCTTGGTGTGTTTGGACCATGATAGTTTGTTGGTGATGTGGACACCAAGGAACTTGAAGCTCTCAACCTGTTCTACTACAGCCCCGTCGATGAGAATGGGGGCGTGCTCCGTCCTCTTTTTTTTCCTGTAGTCCACAATAATCTCCTTTGTCTTGGTCACGTTGAGGGAGAGGTTGTTATCCTGGCACCTCACGGCCAGGTCTCTGACCTCCTCCCTATAGGCTGTCTCATGGTTGTCGGTGATCAGGCCTACCACTGTTGTGTCGTCGGCAAACTTAATGATGGTGTTGGAATCGGGCCATGCAGTCATGGGTGAACAGGGAGTACAGGAGGGGACTGAGCACGCACCCCTGAGGGGCCCCCATGTTGAGGATCAGTGTGGCAGATGTGGATTGGAGTGGGTCTAGGGTTTCTGGGATAATGGTGTTGATGTGAGCCATGACCAGCCTTTCAAAGCACTTCATGGCTACAGACATCAGTGCTACGGGTCGGTAGTCATTTAGGCAGGTTATCTTAGTGTCCTTGGGCACGGGGACTATGGTGGTCTGCTTGAAACATGTTGGTATTACAGACTCAGTCAGGGACATGTTGAAAATGTCAGTGAAGACACAAAGTAGCCTATAGCCAAAATCCCACCTTAGAAACATGGAGGCAATTATTTTATGTGAAAAAAATTGCTAAACATTTGTCTGTCCTTTACGCATGTAAACAACTAGCTTGCCTGCTCTAGCTGCACTGATTGGCCGCAAGTAATTTTAACACGCTAAATGTAAATAAACTGATTTCACAAGTTAAAAAAGGAACGGAACGAACTGGTTCAGAACTTTATTTTGCTCGTCGGAACAGTGTAACGAAACAAAAAAAAAAGGGATTCTGTTCAGAACAAAATTATTGGATAATAATTTTGGTTTCAATCCCTGGTTTCCATGCTCTCTGGCAGCTTTCATAGCTGGGCTAAGTTCTTTCCGCCAGCTTCAGAGATGTCTTCATTGAGGAAGATGTTGGTTCCTCTGAAGTTCTTGGCTCTCTCCAGAACAGCAATCTTGTCCTTAAACCTCAAGAACTTGACCACTATCGGCCTGGGTCTGTCACCTAGGCTGGTTAAATTTTTTCCAGACCTGTGGGCGCACTCCACCTCAATCTTCGTATTCTCCATATGCAGCTTTTCAGTGATCGTTTTTCTTACTTTCTCCTCACTCGGCCTCATGTGAAGACTCTGATATGCTATCCACAATGATGTTATTCCTCCTGGATTGTCCCTCTAGATAGTCTGTTCCCAGTCATTGTTAATAATGATTCACAGAGAGTGCTGATGTCATCTCAAGCGGAATTAGTTTTGTCATCTTGCTGCATGTCTCTTTCAGGACATCCACCTCTCCCTGGGAGAACTGCAAACTGTTCTTAAGGTCCTGGACCTCTGGTCAGATTGTCCATTCTTTTGTTAGTGGAGTCTATCAGTATTTGGACAAAGTTCTTGAAGCTATTTTCCTGTTGTAACAACTGCATGTAGAACCCTTTTTGTTCATTGAAAATATTATTCACCTGGGATAGTGAAACACTGTCCTCTGGTAATCCACGCAGTTCCAAACAGGGCAGGTTGCAGGGCAGATTTAAACATCAACTAACAGCAGGGATTTAGACAATGTACTGTACAATGTACTGTACTCTTTGCTTTACTGTATTGTACGATTGTGTTGACTACTCTACTTTACTCTACTGTACTATACTCACTGTGCTGTACTGTACTCTACTTACTGTATTGTACTGTACTATACTGTGCTCTACTCACTGTACAGTACTGTACTCTAGTTTTGTCACAATACCAGAATTTTGACTTCGATACCAGGTTTAGTATCACGATACTCCATACCATCAAGAAACTCAATACCAAAATGATACCACAGCAAAAAAAAATAGGCGTGTTAGCCAAAGTCACAGAATGGCACCTGATCCACACAGATCTTTTGAGTTCAATATCATTACATTTGAAATCTTTGTACATTTTTAACTTTGTTTTTACCAACCAACTACATAACAACAATGTTAATCATTTATTTGAATGGTAAATCTCTATTGATAAACTGGGTAAATCAAGATGTAGCCTAGGCTTATTCACAATACAGGTGAAATGTTTTGCTGATTTCATGGGACATTTTCCTTTCCATTTGGGACTTATTTTATTGTACTGATCAACAATATTTGCATAGAAGAAGCAATCTCTTTTATAAAAGTGTGCGCTGTCTCTTTTAAGACCTAATGACGTCATTCTCACACACACAGACACACACAGACAGACAGACAGACAGTGAAAGAGACAGGAGAGGATGGCTTGGCGAAGATGGCGGCTTCAACAGATAGTTTTTACTGTGCTGCGCACCAAACTAAAGAAAACTTGCCCCAAAAACGAGTTTCCTGTCAATCCTATTGTTTTTATTTGCTCAAGATAGAAGAACTTCCCTGTGACTGGAATGAAGTGGTTAATTTATTTTGGCATGTCCATGCAAAGTCATGACAGAGAATAAGCTAGCCATTCTACTGCTAACCAACAAGAGGAACGTGCTAATAGACAACTGCCACAACTACGCTGGCCCCATGGATAATCTCAAGCTTTCCATGGCTGATGAAGATGACGAGTTCCCCTCTTTACCGGTTACTCCATGCAAACCTCCAGCCTCCAAAAAACCCAACATGGACTCTGACATTGTGGCTACCCTCTCCTTACTCAACTCCAGGTCTGACGCCATTGAGAAAATGATAGGCGCAAACACCGTGGTAATCGAAGGCTTGAAAAACACCGTTTTTTTTTTGTGTTGAAATCAAGGATGTGAAAATGAGTGGCTAACGTTGAAAAGAGTGTGGAAAAGGTGGAACGGAAGACCAATGTCTACCATGGATGTCTCACTGATCTGGAGCAATACACAAGAAGATGGAACCTGAGACTCTACGGCGTGCCTAAGGTGAAGAGAAGAACAAAGTTGCTGATACCATCGACGTTGTGCATCGCCTCGGCAAGAAGAAACCGCAAAACTATTCAAGATCAAGGGGGATCATAATCCTCTTCACCGCCAGATTCTACAGGGATGCTGTCTGGAAAGCTGCAAAGAAGAACGCGTTCCTTCAGAGCCACGGTCTGCATTTCGCCGAGCATCTTTGCCCGGAGGACATAGAAAGTAGGAACAAGCTGTGGCCAGCAATCAAGAAAGCACGAGAGGGAAAGGCTTCCTACTTTGTTGCAGGACGAGGCTTCTTCAACGGTTCGGAAGTCAATATTCCTCCCTAGAATCTTACCAGCAAGAACAGACTGATGATTTCAGCCATGGTAGTCAAAACATTTTGTACTGACTACCTAACCAGCCTCGGGTGACTATTTTTCAGACCACTCAGGCACCTCCAATCATTTAGGAGCTTTTTCTTGTATGACCAGACCAAAAAAGCCCTATTTTGTTTATACTCAAATGAGTTTTATTTTCCTGTTCAAAAAGTTACTGTTTTAAAGGGGCATACAGGTCTGCTCTGATTTTACTTTATACTGTTATTGTTCTATTTATTTATTAATGCTTATTTCCAAGTGAAAGGTCTCAGGAATATATTTGCTTACTATTTATTTTATTTTTCATGAGCACTTTTCATATGCAGTTAAAATAGTCGGTATCTCTCTTTTCTTGGTTTTACTCAGAATAGTCCCTGATTACACTAAAGAGGGTTTTTATTCTTGTTTTGGTCTTTAACATATTCTTCTGTTGTTGACGTTCAAGAGCTGGTTAACAACTAGCCCAGAGAGTTTATGATGTAGGCTTTAAGTGGACTTACTTTAAGTGGACTTACTTTAAGTGGACTTACTTTAAGTGGACTTAAATGGTGCATATCTCAGTTCCTTATAGCTTACGTTCACTGCTCCTATGTGGTTTTTGACTCATCCTACAGTTTATACTTTTCTATTCTCTTTGTTGTTTTGTCTTTGTCTATAGATTCTCTTAATGCTAGGGGGTTACAAAACAATGTGAAGCACAAGGCCTTATTTTTATTTGCTAAACAACTTTGAACAGATTTTTGTTTTTTCCAAGAGTCACAATTTCCGCTGATGCCAATTTCTGGAAGTCACAGTGGGGCAATGATAGTTGGCTTTCCCATGGCTCTGAACGCTCTGCTGGGGTCACTACAATGAAAAATACCTTTGGGTCAAATTCTACACTCGGGACTGTGACCCCTTTGGTCACTTTATTTGTCTTGTGATCAGTTACAATGACATTATATTACTATAAACCTGTATGGGTACAACACCAAACATGAGAATGATGAGTTACTTGAATCTGTAGAGAAACTTATACTTCATTGGTTATCTAAATTTCCCAATTCGTTATTATTGATAGGAGGGGACTTAAACATTTTACTATGGATAATTCAACTGATAGATGGCCCCCAGGTAGGCCAACCAATCAGAATTTGGATTTTATACTTTTTATGGAAAGGTTTGATCTTACTGATATGGACAGCGAAGGTTTTATACAAATCTCCGCTGTTGAAAACTAAATGTTAGTCTAAAAGTAATGTGAGATAATGTCTAGATGCTTTTTATAATGGAGATCAAGTTTATAAATTGCCTGGCTGGGCGGATGAGACAGTGGATTGCACAGTCAAATGGAACAGAGTAAATAGGCATTTTAACATCATAGATTTAGCCGGTGGTAACTTGTGGAATTAGGTTTTAACCAATCAGCATTCCGGATTAGACCCACCCGTTGTATAAAGAACAATGATCCACAGGTATTGATGGAATTACAACAGAATTGTACAAGTTATTCTCTGAACAAGTAGCTCCCTTCCTACTTGAGGTCATTTTTTAGAGTATTAAAAACAATGTTCTCCCTCCTACAATGAATCAGGGTTTAATAACACTGATTCCTAAGCCTAAAAAGACGTGCTTCTCATCTAACTGGCTTCCAATTTGTCTTCTTAATAATGACTATAAGATATTAGCCCTACTACTTGCAAAGAGAATTAAAGAAGTCCTGGATGAAATAATTGATGAAACAGTCTGGCTTCATGAGAAACAAGACATATCTCTAACAATATCAGATTAGTACTAGACATAATTGGCTACTCAGACCTTTTAACCGAGGATAGCTTTATATTATTTTTAGATTTTTATAAAGCATTTGAAACAGTAGAGCATCAGTTCCTCTTCCACTCCCTTAAGAAATGTGGCTTTGGGGACTTTTCCTGTAGGGCTATTAAGACGATACGAAGGGTAACAGCTCTATCAAACTGAAACATGGCACCTCATCTAGATTTGAGTTAAAGAGAGGAATTAAACAAGGTTGTCTTATTTCACAGTATTTGTTTTTATTAGTCACCCAACTTCTTACAAATGGTATTAATAAAGTCCTGTACAAGGTATTATACAATAAATGATTATAAGCCAGCTGGCTGAGGATACTACACTTTTTCTGAAAGGTGCTAGTCAGATTCCCATGTTGATCAATGTGATAAACAAGATGCTTTGGAAAAGGATTCTACACTGAACAAAAATATAAACGCAACATGCAACAATTTCCAAGATTTTACTGAGTTACAGTTCATATATGGAAATCAGTCAATTGAAATAAATAAATTAGGCCCTAATCTATGGATTTCACATGGCTGGGAATAGAGAGATGCATATGTTGGTCACAGATACTGGACCTTCGCATAGAGTTGATCAGGCTGTTGATTGTGGCCTGTGGAACGTTGTCCCACTCCTTTTCAATGGCTATGCAAAGTTGCTGGATATTGGTGGGAACTGGAACACGCTGTCATACACGTCAATCCAGAGCATCCCGAACATGCTCAATGGGTGACATGTCTGAGTATGCATGCCATGGAAGAACTGTGACATTTTCAGCTTCCAGGGATTGTGTACAGATCCTTGTGACATGGGGCCGTGCATTATCATGCTGAAACATGACGTGATGGTGGCGGATCAATAACACGACAATGTGCTATCAAACTGCCATCGATAAAATGCAATTGTGTTCTTTGTCCGTGCCTGCCCATACAAAAAACCCACCACCACCATGGGGCACTCTGTTCACATTGTTGACAGCAAACTGCTCGCCCACACAACACCATACGTCTGCCATCTGCCCAGTACAGTTGAAACCGAGATTAATCCATGAAGAGCACACTTCTCCAGTGTGCCAGTGACCATCAAAGGTGAGCATTTGCCCACAAGTCTGTTATGACGCCGAACTGCAGTCAGGTCAAGACCCTGGTGAGGACGACGAGCATGCAGATGAGCTTCCCCGAGACGGTTTCTGACAGTGCCGAAATTCTTTGGTTGTGCAAACTCTGTTTCATCAGCTGTCTGGGTGGCTGGTCTCAGACGATCCCGCAGGTGAAGATGTCGGATGTTGAGGTCCTGGGCTGGCGTGGTTACATCTGGTCTGCGGTTGTGAGGCCGGTTGGATGTACTGCCAAATTCTCTAAAATGACGGAGGCGGCTTATGGTAAAGAAATGAACAGCTCTGTTGGACATTCCTGCAGTCAGCATGCCAATCTGTGGCATTGTGTTGTGTGACACAACTGCACATTTTAGAGTGGCATTTTATTGTCCCCAGCACATGATGCACCTGTGTAATGATCATGCTGTTTAATCAGCTTCTTGATATGCCACACCTGTCAGGTGGAAGGATTATCTTGGCAAAGGAGAAATGCTCACTCTCAGGGATGTGAACAAATTTGTGCACAGAATTTGATTGAAATAAGTTCTGAGATCTTTTATTTCAGCTCATGAAACATGGAACCAACACTTTACATATTGCGTTTATATTTTGGTTCAGTATATGTCTTACCATTTGAATGCGAACCCATGGCTGTCAAAGATTGTGACACCCTCATATTATGGTATTCCAGTGAAAGATTAACTTACATATACTGTATTTAGGCATAACCATTACTAAGCATCAGAAGTCTAGAGGCTTACTACATTCTATCCCTGTTATAAACATTTTTTAAAAAAAAGACGCTAAAGCAATGGCTACAGCAGGACTTATCTTTGAAAGGAAGAGTGGTAATAACCAAGGTTGAGGTTATCTCTAGAGTAAAATACGCTGCGCTATCTATGTCTTGACAGTAAAATAAGCAAAAAGAGAGACCAGATGTTATCAACTTTCTGTGGTTAAACCGTACACATTACATTAGGAAAACTGTTGTAATGAACACTTATGAGTATGGTGGGCTTAATTTTCTGGACTTCTCTACTTTAAATAATACTTTTTAAGATCCATTGGAGCTTTATTCCTCTTCATGTCTGCTCTACTTTTGTTGGCCTTAACTTCATGTTGGTTTGCAATTATAATATTGACAAAGTTCAAGTGAAACTCTGCTTTGCATCGGCAGGTTGTCTTGTCATGGTCCTTAATTTAGAAGCATCATTTCTATCCACGCAGATATTATATCTGGAATAATCGGGACATATTGTATAAAAATAAGTCTTTGTTTTTAGAATATTGGTTCTGAAATAATATCCTGTTGGTGAGCCAACTTGTAAATGTAGAGGGTCTTTTACTTAATTATGAGGATTTCTTATAACTTTACAAGATCCCTGTAAGATTTTACCTCTGTTAACTCATCAGTAGGAAAGATTTTCTTTTTTTCTTTTGGTCCATACAACAACAGAGCTATACAGTGCATTCGGAAAGTATTCAGACCCCTATACTTTTTCCACATTTTGTTACATTACAGCTTTATTCTAAAATTGATTAAATTCTTTTTTTCCCTCATCAATCTACACACAATACCCTATAATGACGACGTGAAAACATGTTTTACAATTAAAAATAATTTAAAAAAATACCTTATTACATAAGTATTCACACCCTTTGCTATGAGACTCAAAATTTAGCTCAGGTGCATCCTGTTTCCATTGATCATCCTTGATGTTTCTACAACTTGATTGGAGTCCACTTGTGGTAAATTCAATTGATTGGACATGATTTGGAAAGGCACACACTTGTCTATATAAGGTCCCACAGTTGACAGTGCATGTCAGAGCAAAAACCAAGCCATGAGGTCGAAGGAATTGTCCGTAGAGCTCCGAGACAGGATTGTGTCGAGGCACAGATCTGGGGAAGGGTACCAAAACATTTCTGCAGCATTGAAGGTCCCCAAGAACACAGTGGCCTCCATCATTCTGAAATGGAAGAAGTTTGAACCACCAAGACTCTTCCTAGAGCTGGCCGCCCGGCCAAAATGAGCAATCTGGGGAGAAGGGCCTCCTGTAGCTCAGTTGGTAGAGCATGGCGCTTGCAACACCAGGGTTGTGGGTTCGATTCCCACGGGGGGCCAGTATGAAAAATGTATGCATTCACTAACTGTAAGTCGCTCTGGATAAGAGCGTCTGCTAAATGACTAAAATGTGAAATGTAAGGGCGATGGTCACTCTGACAGAGCTCCAGAGTTCCTCTGTGGAGATGGGAGAACCTTCTAGAAGGACAACCATCTCTGCAGCAGTCCATCAATCAGGCCTTAATGGTAGAGTGGCCAGATGGAAGCCACTCCTCAGTAAAAGGCACATGATAGCCCACTTGGTGTTTGCCAAAAGGCACCTAAAGGACTAAGACCATGAGAAACACAAGATTCTCTGGTCTGATGAAACCAAGATTGAAGTCTTTGGCCTGAATGCCAAGCGTCACGTCTGGAGGAACTCTGGCACCATCCCTACTGTGAAACGTGGCGGTAGCAGCATAATGCTTTTGGGATGTTTTTCAGCGGCAGGGACTGGGAGACTAGTCAGGATCGAGGGAAAGATGAACATAGCAAAGTACAGAGAGATCCTTGATGAAAACCTGCTCCAGAGTGCTCAGGGCCTTACACTGGGGCGAAAGTTCACCTTCCAACAGGACAACGACCCTAAGCACACAGCCAAGACCACGCAGGAGTGGCTTCGGGACAAGTCTCTGAATGTCCTTGAGAGGCCCAGCCAGAGCCCGGACTTAAATGGTTGACCTCCAATTTCATATGCTCCTATGAACTTCAGATAGTGGTGCTCATTGGTCCTTTTAGATAGAAATGCCCGGAGTCTTTCAGCAAATGGTACCCCACGTCCTCTCCTCAAGACCACATTACTGAATCCAGGCTCTGTCATAGCTGGCCGCGACCGGGAGACCCATGGGGCGGCGCACAATTGGCCCAGCGTCGTCAAGGGTAGGGGAGGGAATGGCCGGCAGGGATGTAGCTCGGTTGGTAGAGCATGGCGTTTGCAAAGCCAGGGTTGTGGGTTCCATTCCCACGGGGGGCCAGTATAAAAAATAAATAATAATGTATGCACTAACTGTAAGTCACTCTGGATAAGAGCGTCTGCTAAATGACTAAAATGTAAATGTATAAGCAGTGAGAATGTGCATTTGGATCTGAGACAAAAACAATTGCACCACCAAGGGCTACATATCATGTTCTACTTCATCTTGTAAACTGGTGACCAGTTTTGAAGGAATAGCTTAAGTTGCAAACCAGACCTAGGAGCAAGAGCACTAGGTCTGGTGAGGATGTCAGATTCTCTTGGCCAGTAGAAAGGGGGAAGCGGAGGGGGTGTTTGGAGTGTGCTCAACTCTCCCAACAAGTCACGAGTTTGAGTAGGTGCGGCTTAAAATGCGGGCGGGAATTTTGCGGAATTAAATTGGTGTCATAATTTAATAAAATCGTCAGTCATAAAGCAGGAAGTGTGTTGGTCGACCAGAATTATTATTTTGCAGAAAATAGTAATGTACATATAGTTTATAGAGTTAGAAAGTAGCTTACGTCAACTAATGGCTGTCTCTAGTCAGTGAGCCGCGAGCAAGCCAGAGCGTAGACTCGTTGCTAGGCAACTCAGACGCAGGCTGCAGGGAGAGAGAGGAGCAGCACGAAGCAGCTAACAGTTAAGCTAGCAACCAAAAAAGTTTCACAGCCTTTCTCTTATGTTCTACTGGTTTTCATATCAACTTTCTTTCGTTGTCCAGAAGCCAAAGGCACAAACAGATGTTCATCTCTTGTCACATGAAACGTCTCTCATCAGGTGCGTCTTTTAGAACAGTTTTTTCCCGCAAATTGCATTTTGGCAAATGTTTGAAAATGATGTATTCTATTCTCTGCTTCATTACAGTAGTTGCATGTTCAATAATATGAGAGGATAGGCGTGCTATTGTCGCATGTTATTTAAGCTCTTAATGAAAAATGTCCATTCCTTCCATGGCACTCATTTTACTGTTTGGAACTAATTTAACCGTTTGTTAACCGGTTAATGGGGTCGGCAACAAAATTGACCGAAATCTGCATCCCTAGTACACACCCCTTGACTTTCTCCACATTTTGTTGTGTTAAAGCGGAATTTAAAATGGATTAAATTGAGATAGTTGTTGTCACTGGCCTACACACAATACCCCCAAATGTCAAAGTGGAATTATGTTTTTCGAAATATTTACACACAAAAAAAAAAATGTAAAGCTGAAATGTCTTGAATCAATAAGTATTCAAACCCTTTTGTTATGGTAAGCTTCCATAATGCTTAGGTCACATAAGTTGCATGGAATCACTCTGTGTTCAATAATAGTGTTTAACAGGATTTTTGAAAGACTACGTCATCTCTGTACCCCACACATACAATTATCTGTAAGGTAACTCAGTCGAGCAGTGAATTTCAAACACCGATTCAACCACAAAGACCAGGGAGGTTTTCCAATGCCTCGCAAAGAAGGGCACCTATTGGTAGATGGGTAAAAAAAAAAAAAAAGACATTAAATGTCCCTTTGAGCATGGTGACGTTATTAATTCATTAATTAAAACAGTTAGTTTAATGGCTGTGATAGGAGAAAACTGAGGATGGATCAACAACATTGTAGTTACTCCACAATAATAACCTAAATGACAGAGTTAAAAGAAGGAAGCCTGTACAGAATACAAATATTCCAAAACATGCATCCTGTTTGCAATAACGTACTAAAGTAAAAATGCAAAACATTTAGCAAAGAAATTAACTTTATATCCTGAATACAAAGCGTTATGTTTGGGGCAAATCCAATAAAACACATTACTGAGTACCACTCCATATTTTTAAGCATAGTGGTGGCTGCATCATGTAATGGGAATGCTTGTAATCGCTAAGGACTGGGGAGTTTTTTAGGATAAAAAGGAAACGGAATGGAGCTAAGCACAGGCAAAATCCTAGAGAAACTTGTTTGTCTGCTTTCCAATAGACACTGGGAGACAAATTCACCTGTCAGCAGGAAAATTACTTAAAACACAAGGCCAAATCTACACTGGAGTTGCTTACCAAGAAGACGGTGAATGTTCCTGAGTGGCCGAGTTACAGTTTGGATTTAAATCTACTTGAAAATCTATGGCAAGACCTGAAAATTGTTGTCTAGCAATGATCAACAACCAATTTGACAGCGCTTGAATATTTATTTTAAAGAATAATGGGCAAATGTTGCACAATCCAGGTGTGGAAAGCTCTTAGAGACTTACACAGAAAGACTCACAGCTGTAATCGCTGCCAAAGGTGCTTCTACAAAGTATTGATTCAGGTGTGTGAATACTTATGAAAATGAGATATTTATCCATTTTGAATTCAGGCGGATTGTTTCCTGTAGTCCACAATCCGCTCCTTTTGTCTTGCTGACGTTGAGGGAGAGGTTGTTGAACTAGCACCACACTACCAGGTCACTGACCACCTCCCTATATGCTGACTCATTGTTGTCGGTGATCAGGCCTTCCACCGTCGTCATCAGCAAACGTAATGATTGTGTTGGAGTCGTGCGCGGCCACGCAGTTGTGGGTGAACAGGGAGTACAGGAGGAGACTAAAGACGCACCTCTAAGGGGCCGCCGTGTTGAGGGTCAGCGTGGCGGACAGGGCCTAAAATGTTATTTTTGTTCCACCAGCCGCTGTGTTAAGTAGATTTTAAAAATCTACCAGCCACTCAGATTTTTGAACCAGCCAAAGTATTTTTGTTCGCAATAATTACACTAACAAAACACAAAAAAACAGATGAGCATGCTTTGTAATGTTTCTAAAACAATAAATGTATAACTATTAAGAAATAGTGGTATATTGTTTAATTTCATATCGTTTTTTGTGACCAAAGTCTTTTAACCAAAATATCACAGATAAGACAAACATTTTCACCTGCCCCTTTAAGGGTGGGAGGTTACCGTGGTAACGCAACTCCAGTCATGTTTGTGCCAGTGAGATTGAGTGTCTGACTGGTAGCACATTGTCTTCTCTTCCCTAGCAGTTGAAACTCAAACATTGAAAAACTACCTAGCATTTGAATAAAACAATGTAAATAGCCAAGAAACACAAGGACAAAGTCTCACTTCAGTAGACTTTTGTTTCAAGTAAATTAGACCAACTTTTATGCCTGTACGCAGCGCTTCTAAAAATGTATCTTTCAACTCCTTCAGTGTTGCAGCGCGAGGTGGGATAGGCTATAGGATTTGTAGTTCTTTGACTTTGTGCGATCAATTTACCAGATATGAAACAAAATGGCAGAAATACTTTGAAAACAGCTACTGCAGAATTTGTTTTCCTATAAATGTGATCATACTTGACTATTTTTATTCACAAATGTGAGTGAAATGTTTGCACGGTGGAGCCCTGACCAACCGCAAATGTGGAAGGTGAAGTAGAAAATCTACCCACATTTGACAGGTGGAGGGTGTTCATTTTAGGCCTTTGTGGCGGATGTGTTGTTTCCTCCCCTCACCATCTGGGGGCAGCCTGTCAGGAAGTCCAGGATCCAGTTGCAGAGGGAGGTGTTAAGTCCCAGGGTCCTAAGCTTAGTGATGAGCTTGGAGGGCACTATGGTGTTGAACGCTAAGCTGTAGTCAATGAACAGCATTCTCGCATAGGTGTTCCTCTTGTCAAGGTGGGAGAGGGCAGTGTGGCGTGCAATAGAGATTGCATCATCTGTGGATCTGTTGGGGCTGTATGCGAATTGGAGTGGGTCGAGGGTGTCTGGGATGATGGTGTTGATGTGAGCCATGACCAGCCTTTCAAAGCATTTCATGGCTACAGATGTGAGTGCTACGGGGTGATAGTCATTTAGATAGGTTACCTTGGTGTTCATGGGCACAGGGACTATGGTGGTCTGCTTGAAACATGTAGGTATTACAGACTGGGTCAGGGAGAGGTTGAAAATGTCAGTAAAGACACTTGCCAGCTGGTCAGCACATGCTCTGAATACGCATCCTGGTAATCCGTCTGGCCCTGCGGCCTTGTGAATGTTAACCTGTTTAAAGGTCCTACTCACATTGGCTACGGAGAGTGAGATCACACAGTTGTCCGGAACAGCTGGTGCTCTCATGCATGGTTCAATGTTGCTTGCCTTCGAAGCGAGCATAGAAGGCATTTAGCTCGTCTGGTAGGCTCGCGTCACTTGGCAGCCCGTGGCTGAGTTTCCCTTTGTTATCCGGGATCGTTTGCAAGCCCTGCCACATCCGACGAGCGTCAGAGCCGGCGTAGTCAGATTCGATCTTAGTCCTGTATTGACACTTTGCCTGTTTGATGGCTCGTCGGAGGTCGTAACGGTATTTCTTATAAGTGCCCAGATTAGTGTCCCGCTCCTTGAAAGCGGCAGCTCTTTAGCTCAGTGTGGATGTTGCCTGTAATCCATGGCTTCTGGTTGTGATATACAGTCACTGTGGGGACGACGTCGTCGACGCACTTATTAATGAAGCCGTTGACTCCTCAATGTTATCGGATTAATCCCGGAGCATATTCCAGTCCTGTAGTTTAGCATCCGCTTAATCGGATCACTTCCATATTGAGCGCGTGACTGGTACTTCTTGTTTTGAGTTGTTGCTTGTAAGCAGGATTCAAGAGGATAGAGTTATGGTCAGATTTGCCAAAGGGAGGGTGAGGGAGAGCCTTTTATGTATTTATGTGTGTGGCATAAAGCTGATCTAGAGTTTTTTTTGCCTCTAGTTGCACAGGTGACATGTTGGTAAAACGGATTTTAGTTTCCCTGCATTAAAATCACCGGCCACGAGAAGCACTGCATCTGGATGTGCATTTTCTTGTTTGCTTATGGCCCTATACAGCTGGTTGAATCCGGTCTTAGTGCCAGCATCGGTTTGTGGCAGTAAATGGCGAGCTATGAAAAAAAATTGATAAACTCTGTTCGCAAATAGTAGGTATTCTAACTCCGGCGAGCAAAAACTAGAAACTTCCTTAACAACAGCTGGTGCGCAACCTCTAATGTTAACAAAGAAATGCTAGAACTTCTACAGACATGGAGCAATGGTACATTGTGGGAGGCATCCCATGTGTCTAGAGACGAATCTGACAATGTTGGTCTTTTACCCATAGTGGACGATAATTCCACCAATAACGATATTGAATAAATGTGATCAAAAAATGATATCTCATGCTTATCTGAACACATGCGGCCATTCTCATAATGTCGTTATTGTCACAATGTAAGAAATCAACAGTTGAAGCATATTTCTTGGACATTTGCTCTTTTGGATGGCAATTTTCGTGCTGTAAAACAGTTTATCTGCAGATGTACCAGTATCGGAAGGTTTTGTTGCAAAAAAACCATATAGTTCAGGCTCTAATATGAACTCGGTCACTGGTTCGAATAGCTTTCAGACTTGTGTTGAAATGGGCAGTCTCTCATGTCTACTCACTTGATATTGATCGCCTCTGGCCCTTGTTACAGCATATAGCCAGTCTCCCCTCTCCGTGTGAGCCAAAGATAACTTGCTGACGAATATGATCCTAACTACTACTGTCAGGTACAGTCACGTTTCTGAGCTTTCATTCGTCTGATAGCTGCTCTCTCTCCCTCAAGCCTGATATCTTAGCCTTTTAAGGAGAAGCAACAGACTCTGGGCAGAGCGTATGGGAAGGCTGTGACCTCCTGTTCCTAGAGAAAGTAGTCGTTTTTGGTTTTCTGCCGAGAGAGCGAGATCCGTAAGAAAATGCCTTAGTGAGGACGGACACTTTGCTTTTAATACGGCATGTCTAAGCCAGCAGATCCACCATTTGAGGAACAGCATACTGAATTCCTCTAAGATATGTAAATATTTTCATGTATCATCTTGATTCACAGAATTTGCCTGCGCCAGAACATTTTTCTTCGAAGTAGAACATTTTGTTTAGGCCTAATCCTCATGACGGCTATAAGCAGTAGCAAAGCAAACAGGCCCAGAACCTGGGTTGGTGACACACAGGGGCCATAGAATACTTTCTAGGAATCCATTCATGCACTTAGTTCACCTGAATTAGAAAATGTACCTGTCTTGAAGTAACAGGTCAGTAATGGGTCCTACTCTTGGTGCAGGTTCAAGTGTGAACTGTGAAGTTTAAACGTTTGTTTGTGAACCAGAAAGTTATTCCAGAGGTAGGTTACTTTTCAATAGTTTATCCATGCACCTGTTTCTAATCCCTCAATAACATTGTAATTAATGGGCTGGATGTTGTCCTATGAACACAAAGTAGGCCTATGTGTGAGTCTACGAGAGCATATTCTGTGTCCTTGTATCACAATTTGTAGTGGTCTGGTATTGAATCCTGGTTGTTGGGCTCTTTTTAGATCATAAAGAATAGCATTCCTTCATCTTCTCTGGGAGTCCAGGCTTCCGGGTTGTATTTTGAGTAGAGCCAGACTGATATATCAGTTGACCGGTATTATCGGCCGATATTGGCCCATTTGTGTTGTCTTTTACCCGATATATCGTATCAGTTTTTATACAATCAATATTTATGTAGGATGACCCCAAAAATATTATGCTAATTAGAGCACTTTAAAATGTACTGATAATCTGATATTAGATATTGAGGCCCACCTCCTTTACTTAAACACCACCTGCAACTAGATTCAATGCTTTTTACATGAGATGTCTGAAAGAACCGGGCCAATATGATGACATTCTTGGATTTACCAGTTAAAATAATCGGATGATACACAGAAAAACAGAGCTCCGAATGAGAATGAAAGAACCACATGGTGAAAACAACAACAATACAGCCTCACGGTGAGAGTTCTTTTTTTCAACAATTATGTAATTACAAGTTGGCTTCCTCCTCAGCTTTTAGCTGTTTTAATAGTGCAGGAGACCCTGACACTCACCAGTTTGTCTTTGAAAGCCCGGGCTTTGCAAGAGGATGGTGGCATCCTGTGCTTTTTAGCTCTGCTCATCAGTAGCTTTTTGTATTCCTGAAGAGGCTGACTCGACTTCCCCCTCTCACTTGCTGGAGAAGTGGAACTCTTGCTCTGAGCATGAGCTTTCATTACCCCCCCTCGGTCTTCTGTGACAGCTTGCTGGTGCTGCCTGGCTGGGCTCGCCAAAGAGAAAATGTCCGGAAGCCTTGAGGGAGGACGTAAACCTAGAGGGCGTGCACGCTTAGATTGGTCTCTTTACTAGTTGAAACATAATATAGTGGGGGTCTCTAGTGCCTTTTCACACTACTGTATGTTTCACTACTGATTTTGTTTAATGGATCCCCATTTAGCTTTTGCAGAAATAGCAGCTACTCTTCCTGGGGTCCACAAAAAAACACAAAACATGACAAGTAACAAACACTGATAGTCCCACATGTAAAATACAACGATATACAAACAATACATCATTAAAAAAAATATATAGTGTTATGAAACCATTTTTGTCCAAATGTGTTTGTTGAATATTTTATTGAATGGATATAATGGGCCTGGTGTCTAGAGTGAAAGATGGCATGATATGAGGGACAGGAAATGAATGGTCCACCTTCACGGTCGCCCCCGGTCACCTCCCAGCTATTAGATATAGGGATGAACATTGTGTTGAAATTCTGAAATAACTCCCTGAACATCAGTTCAATATTGAAATCTAGCACCTAGGTAATGTTTTTTGTCATAGCATTCTTCTATAAAACATTATCTATGCACATCACTTTTTACTCTTTGAAAAACATTGTTGATTCAAATCTCTACTCAACCTTCATAAAGAACGCTTTTCAGAGTGCTGAAATGGAATTGTGTTCATAGTTATGTAATTGATCAATCAACATGGAAAAAAACATAGTCCCAGGCAGCGTTCATGTAGTATGATGCTACTGTAATCACTTAGGCCTATCTAAAGTACATTTTGCTTAACAAGGCGTGTGTCTGTCTGTCTTTGTGTTTGGTGTGCGCACATGGGTGTGTGTGAAATCTACATCCACAGGGCTTTACAGTGCAACCATTTTACTCGCATATACGCCTTAAATGTTTTGCTGTGCGACCTGAAATTTTGCGCCTAAACAAATGAAGGATTCTAGCTGTATTACCTCAAATATTTTTCATTGTGCTCCCAAATTTCTCTGTGTGCTTACATTTTTCAAATTAGGCGCACACATGCTCCTTGTAAAAAAAGGTTAGCGTAGAGCCCTGATCCATTTTTGTTTAAAACTGCCATTCCTTCAATCGCAAGTGCAAGAGGGCACATATTTTCTTGAAATTGATGCCAATGTATTTGTTATGGCAGGTTTGATAGAGTCAGACCTTATGGAATCCAAGTTGTTCTGATTTAGATTAATAGACCAGCACTTTTCACCCAACAGCTACAGTGAGGGGAAAAAAGTATTTGATCCCCTGCTGATTTTGTACGTTTGCCCACTGACAAAGAAATGATCAGTCTATAATTTTAATGGTAGGTTTATTTGAACAGTGAGAGACAGAATAACAACAAAAAAATCCAGAAAAACGCATGTCAAAAATGTTATAAATTGATTTGCATTTTAATGAGGGAAATAAGTATTTGACCCCCTCTCAATCAGAAAGATTTCTGGCTCCCAGGTGTCTTTTATACAGGTAACGACCTGAGATTAGGAGCACACTCTTAAAGGGAGTGCTCCTAATCTCAGTTTGTTACCTGTATAAAAGACACCTGTCCACAGAAGCAATCAATCAATCAGATTCCAAACTCTCCACCATGGCCAAGATCAAAGAGCTCTCCAAGGATGTCAGGGACAAGATTGTAGACCTACACAATGCTGTAATGGGCTACAAGACCATCGCCAAGCAGCTTGGTGAGAAGGTGACAACAGTTGGTGTGATTATTCGCAAATGGAAGAAACACAAAATAACTGTCAATCTCCCTCTGCCTGGGGCTCCATGCAAGATCTCACCTCGTGGAGTTGCAATGATCATGAGAATGGTGAGGAATCAGTCCAGAACTACATGGGAGGATCTTGTCAATGATCTCAAGGCAGCTGGGACCATAGTCACCAAGAAAACAATTGGTAACACACTATGCCGTGAAGGACTAAAATCCTGCAGCGCCCGCAAGGTCCCCCTGCTCAAGAAAGCACATATACAGGGCCATCTGAAGTTTGCCAGTGAACATCTGAATGATTCAGAGGAGAACTGGGTAACAGTGTTGTGGTCAGATGAGACCAAAATCGAGCTCTTTGGCATCAACTCAACTCACCGTGTTTGGAGGAGGAGGAAAGCTGCCTATGACCCCAAGAACACCATCCCCATCGTCCAACATGGAGGTGGAAACATTATGCTTTGGGGGTGTTTTTCTGCTAAGGGGACAGGACAACTTCACCGCATCAAAGGGACGATGGACAGGGCCATGTACCGTCAAATCTTGGGTGAGAAACTCCTTCCCTCAGCCAGGGCATTGAAAATGGGTCGTGGATGGGTATTCCAGCATGACAATGACCCAAAACACACAGCCAAGGCAACAAAGGAGTGGCTCAAGAAGAAGCACATTAAGGTCCTGGAGTGGCCTAGCCAGTCTCCAGACCTTAATCCCATAGAAAATCTGTGGAGGGAGCTGAAGGTTTGAGTTGCCAAACGTCATCCTCAAAATCTTAATGACTTGGAGAAGATCTGCAAAGAGGAGTGGAACAAAATCCCTCCTGAGATGTGTGCAAACCTGGTGGCCAACTACAAGAAACGTCTGACCTCTGTGATTGCCAACAAGGGTTTTGCCACCAAGTACTAAGTCATGTTTTGCAGAGGGGTCAAATACTTATTTCCCTCATTTAAAATGCAAATACATTTATAACATTTTTGACATGCGTTTTTCAGGATTTTTTTGTTGTTATTCTGTCTCTCACTGTTCAAATAAACCTACCATTCAAATTATAGACTGATCATGTCTTTGTCAGTGGGCAAACGTACAAAATCAGCAGGGGATCAAATACTTGTGTTGGAAGTACAGAAATGTGGAAGCACAAAGTGCTTCTGTACCTACAATTTTGAACCTCATTTTTTGTTGGTATCGTACATTTTTTGCACAGCCGAGTTAAGTCTCCTCTCCGCCTCAACACCCTTTCCTAAATAAACCTACATAGTCCCACCTCTACCATGAGATACACAGGAGGTTGGTGGCACCTTAATTAGGAGGACAGGCTCATAGTAATGGCTGGAACGGAATAAATTGAATGGTTTCCCTGTAGCTCAGTTGGTAGAGCATGGTGCTTGCAATGGTAGGGTTGTGGGTTCGTTTCCCACGGGGGGCCAGTATGAAAATGCATGCACTCACTAACTGTAAGTCGCTCTGGATAAGAGCGTCTGCTAAATGACTAAAATGTAAATGTGAAATGTTTCCATGGGTTTGATACCATTCCATTTACTCCATTCCAGACATTATTATGAGCCTTCTTACCCTCAGTAGCCTCCTGTGATGAGATAGTATTTCATGTCATAGAAAGGTCATACATACACCAACACCTTAGGATGTATCATGTTAAACCCGAGTTTCACTTATTCTAGTCTCTTTAATTTCTCCATGGAGTGAGTACATAGTGTGTGACCACATCTCTCTGTGTGTGTTCTTTTAGGCTACCAAGCAGTTTCTGGAGGAAATCAACAAGTGGACCACACAGCATGGAGTGTCCCCTCTGTCCTGGGAAGTGGCTGTCAAGTTCCTCATGGCGCGCAAGTTCGACGTGCTCAGAGCCATCGAGCTCTTCCACAGCTACAGGGTGGGTGTGTGTGTGTGTGTGTGTGTGGTGCCAGTGGTGGCTGGTAACTTGTGAAGTTGGGAGGATGATTATTTTGAACTAAACTTTTTAGGAGGGTTAATTTTATTTAAAATGTTTTATTTTTCCTACATTTTGAGGGGGACCATCCTCTTCCTCCCTGGAAGAGCCTCTTCTGGCCACATGCAGGTGTATGTTTCCGGTCATGTGTATGTGTACATGTCGGCATGCAAGCATGTTTGTGGAGTGATAACACAACCAAATTGCACATTTTTCTTTTTCAGTCTACACTATTTTTAACAAGCCATGGACACATTTGCTGAAAACAAAATGGCCAAAGTAGATTCACCAGAAAATCCAGTCCAGACGCACACACACACACACACACACACACACACTGGCCCCCTACACACACAACACATGCTTTCTGCAGAAAGATTTACCTGTATTGTCAATAAGCTCATGGGGGAACGTGACATTACAAGCACTACCCATTCCACTCCTAAGGCTTGGCAGACTTTTGAAAAATGAATTAACTTTCCCTCTGGGGAAAAATAGATGAGTTCATCTATTTTTAAAGGGTGACTGCACTTCCTGATTTGGCCTTGTTTTTCATCAATGCTTATTAAGACATGCTAGCGGCCATGACTAAAGGGAAACGAGTTGTCTTGGGGGTATGGTTTGATGTGGGTGTTTCTTGGGTGTGTCTTTGCCATTCAATCAAAACAAACACGGGCAGTAGTGAGCACAGCCAGGTAAAGTAAGCTAAGCTAGCTTTGCTATGGAGAGATCGAAGTTTGGAAGTTGAGGACTTCTCTCATCCTGACTGACTCGCCATCTCAAGATGGTCAGCTAATTAAGTTCTATGTGTAGGCTAAAGCCTGCTCTGACCTTGTGTTTTAAGCAAGCTGACAGCAGCTAGAAAGCATAGCTTGGTGATAGTTGCAGCTGGCTGATATTTCTGGTAAATCAGTTATAGCAAGATAGCCAGTGTTTCGAATGTGTTTCATAAGACACTCGTTCTACAACACCTTGCTACGAAAGTAGCTTGCAACTTAGTTTCAACGTTTCATCACGTCATGTAAATAATTTACATGTTACTGTGGAAACTGTATGAACTGCGAGTTGAATGACCGCGGGTCTTCAGGCAGCTCAGCTGTCCTACAACACAATATTCAATAACTGGCTAGTTTTGTCCCGTCTCTCCTTATGTCTGCTGTTAGATCTTTCCCGGGAGACAAATCCCAGAACTACTCATATCCGTACAACAGGTGTAGGCTACATGTGGACATTGCACAAAACATCGCCCAGCTTGTGTGTAGATACATTTCTCAACTAAAAATGGATGTGTGTTCATGTTACAAAGACCAAACATTTGATGGTGTAAATATCATATTGATGTGCTTTACCTGACACCTAGTGTCATGACTTGGTCGTAACCATGTCATAATATGTCATAACAGCTGACATAACCTGTCATAATATGGTCATAACACTGTCATGACACACATTATGCCTGTTGTGACATATGGTGTTATTTTATGGCTGGTTATGACACCTATATAAGAGTGTCAACCTACCACCCAAGGCAAAACATTCTATTACACCATAGCCTACTTGTCAATAGTATTTTTATGTTATATCACATTTTCTGAAATTGACCATAGTAAATGATTATTGTAATCCTGCACACATTGCTGTCAGACATGCACCTACCCCAATGCTTTGTTGCTGATGACTGGGATGCAAGAGAAGATTTCAAAAGTATAACAAGACACCCCCTGATGCAAATGAGATGAATGCTACCACTATTCATGGCTTTATTATGTGTGCCTGCGTCAGCGACATAGGCTACAGAAAAATAGCCATGCATCCCATGTATTTTGCCAGGCAATGTCGACATTATTCTCACATACAGTACTTTAGAATGTAATCATACATTGAATATCAATGCATTGGCAAGGCCTAAAAAAATTCATTATTCTTAAAGTGGTAATGACCTACTTTTTTTTAACACGTTGCATGCTTTTTTGGGGGAGGGGGGTTCTACTGTATATTACGCCCTATATGTACAATTATTTAAATTATACAATTGTATAACACTGAGGCCCTTCAATTACAATTAAGTGTTTGAAAAGTCCCTGAAAGTCCTTGAATTTGACTTGCCAATGTCTGTATGAACCCTGCTTAAAGGATGTATAGTCCTAGACCTATGTTGTTGTATAGGTGGAGTTATGGGCTAATTTGCATATTCAGTGCATTCGGAAAGTATTCAGACCGCTTGACTTTTTCCGCATCACAGCCTTATTCTAAAATGGATTAAATACAAATTTTTCCTCATCAATCTACACACAATTTTTACATATTTGTTGAAAATAAAACACAGATACCTTATTTACATAAGTATTCAGACCCTTTGCTATGAGACTAAAAATTGAGCTCAGGTGCATCCTGTTTCCATTGATCATCCTTGAGATGTTTCTACAACTTGATTGGATTCCACCTGTGGTAAATTCAATTGATTGGACATGATTTGGAAAGGCGCACACACCTGTCTATATAAGGTCCCACAGTTGACAGTACATGTCAGAGCAAAAACCAAGCCATGAGGTCGAAGGAATTGTCTGTAAAGATCAGAGACAAGATTGTGTCGAGGCACAGATCTGAAGAAGGGTACCAAAACATTTCTGCAGCATTGAAGGTCCCCAAGAACACAGTGGTCTCCGTCATTCTGAAATGGAAGAAGATTGGAACCACCAAGACTCTTTGGCCACCCGGCCAAAAAAAGCAATTGGGGGAGAAGGGCCTTGGTCAGGGAGGTGACCAAGAACCCGATGGTCTCTCTGACAGAGCTCCAGAGTTCCTCTGTGGAGATGGGAGAACCTTCCAGAAGGACAACAATCTCTGCAGCAATCCACCAATAAGGCCTTTATGGTAGAGTGGCCAGATGGAAGCCACTCCTCAGTAAAAGGCACATGACAGTCCACTTGGCGTTTGACAAAAGGCACCTAAAGGGTTCTCCGACCCATGAGGAAAAAATATTCTCTGGTCTGATGAAACCAAGATTGAACTCTTTGGCCTGAATGCCAAGCGTCACGTCTGGAGGAAACCTGGCACCATCCCTATGGTGAAGCATGGTGGTGGCAGCATCATGCTGTGGGGATGTTTTTCAGCGGCAGGGACTGGGAGACTAGTCAGGATCGAGGAAAATATGAACGGCGCAAAGTGCAGAGGTCCTTGATTTTAAAAAAACTGCTCCAGAGCGCTCAGGACCTCAGACTGGGGCAAAGGTTTACCTTCCAACAGGACAACGACCCTAAGCACACAGCCAAGACAACACAGCAGTGGCTTCGGGACAAGTCTCAATGTCCTTGAGTGGCCCAGCCAGAGCCCAGACTTGAACCCGATCTAATATCTCTGGAGAGACATGGAAATAGCTGTGCAGCAACACTCCCAATCCAACCTGACAGAGCTTGAATGGGAGAAACTCCCCAAATACAGGTGTGCCAAGCATGTAGCGTCATACCCAAGCCTTACAGCCTTGAGGCTGTAATCGCTGCCAAAGGTGCTTCAACAAAGTACTGAGTAAAGGGTCTGAATACTTATGTAAATGGAATATTTCTGTTTTGCTAAACTTCCTAAAAACCTGTTTTTGCTTTGTCATTATGGGGTATTGTCTGTAGATTGATGAAGGGAAAAAAACAATTTAATCCATGGGTATGCTTGTCATCGGCAAGGACTAATACGTTTTTTAGGATTAAAAACTAAATGGACCTAAGCACAAGCAAAATCCTAGAGGAAAACGTGGTTCAGTCTGCTTTCCAACAGACCCTGGGAGACAAATTCACCTTTCAGCAGGACAATAGCCTAAAACACAAGGCCAAATATACACTGGAGTTGCTTACCAAGACGACATTGAATGTTCATGAGTGGCCTAGTACGTTTTTTAAAAACTTACATTGGCTTGAAAATCTATGTCAAGACTTGAAAATAGTTGTCTAGCAATGGTCAACAACCAACTTGACAGAGCTTGAAGAATTGTTTTAAGAATAATGTGCAAATATTGTACAATCCAGGTGTGCAAAGCTCTTACAGACTTTCCCAGAAAGATTCACTGCTGTAAACGCTACCGAAGGTGATTCTAACATGTATTGACTTTTCTTTTTCATTAGTTTTTTTAACAAATTCCACTTTGACATTACAGAGTATTTTGTGTAGATTGTTGACAAAAAAATTACAATTTAAATCAATTTGAATCCTACCTTGTAACACATCTAAATCTGGAAATAGTCAAGGGATGTGAGTACTTTCTGAAGGCACTGTATCTACTTAGCTAATGTACTCACCAACACCAGTGGTTTGACAGTTTACAGGCAGCAGAAGTGACCATGTTGCATGTAATCCATTCCAATCCTGGCCATCTGGCAATATTATTGAAATGCATTGCAAGTTAGCACCAACTTTATGGAAGCCCATTTTCACTCCCATTTGCGCGTTGCACCCATAAGCAGACTTGACAACAAATATCCAAATGACAGCTTGGGTGGACCACAAGGTGTTGTCTCTGGGCAATTGGGCATCATTTGGCAAAAGTGGGCATGAAAGTAATCCATACCCAACTCTCCAGTAAATCGTGACGAACTCTCAAAACTCAGTTTTGGATGAGACTGACTTAATGACCAAAATGATCCTATTTACACTTTGTAGTACATTTTGACACTAATTTGTTTCTGACTCATATCGATGCCACATAGGTTAAAACCAAATAAATTGGTTCTAAGGGGCAGTTGACCTTTAAGTAATCCTCTATTTGGATGGTGCTGTGTTTAGTCACTGTGTGGACAAAGTGCTCTTTAACTGTTGAACACAAAATGGGACTTAGCCGTTCCAATCCACCACAGCAAATGGAAAGTTCCCAAACGTCTTGTTCTCCCTCTAATTGCCTGAATAGCAGCAGGACGTGGCTAGATTTTGCTGCCTCCATTAAGTCACTTTATCAGAGGTTTTTGTTATTTGAGTGGTGGTTGATTTCAAGGCCTGAATAATCTTGCCTCATTTATGAAAAACACCCTATAAACCCTTTCAGTTTGAGTGAAAGGTGTTTGAAATGCTTTACCTCTGCTTGAATGAAGAAGTGTGTGGTGGTTTGAGCGTGAGCTGTGTTTGAGTAGCTGACATGACACCATTTTTTTTTTTTGTCCATGAAGGCAAACGCAAATATAACATAATTTGGTTCAAATTGTGACCTACAAGTAACTGCCAAAATAATGGAAACACTTGAGTAAATTAGGGATACAAAGTATATTGAAAGCCGGTGATTCCACACAGGTGTGGTTCCTGAGTTAATTAAGCAATTAACATCCCATCATGCTTAGGGTCATGTATAAAAATGCTGGACAGGCCATGTCTATGACCCCATAGGATGACAATGCCCTCATCCACAGGGCACAAGTGGTCATTGAATGGTTTGATGAGCATGAAAACGATGTAAACCATATGCTATGGCTGTCTGTCACCAGATCTCAACCCAATTTAACACTTTTATAGGAGATTCTGGAGTGGTGCCTTAAACAGCTTTTTCCACCACCATCAACAAAACACCAAATGATGGTATTTCTTGTGGAATAATGGTGTCACATTCCTCCGATAAGAGTTCCAGATACTTGTAGAATCTATGCCAAGGTGCATTGAAGCGGTTCTGGCTCGTGGTGGCCCAACGCCCTATTAAGACGCTTTAAGTTGGAGTTTCCTTTATTTTGGCAGTTACCTGTATTACTAAAAGCTTTTGTTTTTTAAACTTGGATCATGAGTAAATTCATGCAGTGCAATATTTGTTTTCTTACCATTTTGAACCAAACTGGGTGATTGTCCAATGGTGTGACTGTCCCAGGTAAGGTTGTGGAACTTTGAACTTAAGTCAATTAATGAAAACAGGAATAAAATTCCCTTCACCTACTCTTGTACTTATGACACAGAAGTCTATTTCAAGAAACCGTATTCCCCAAGTCCATTCATGATATTTCCAAATAATTCTGATTGATTACATTTTGTCCCTAAAATCAATGTCCACATTGTGTGACACAATTCTGTGATTAAACAACGAGCCAGCATTTGGGCAAAAACAATATACTTTTTATTTAGACCTTTTTTGGAAGTACATACCGTGTGTAATGGCAGTAATGATGATAGTTGCTCTGTGAAACTCCATATTTTGGTGAGTACCGTATGTATTTTGACATAACGTTTGCAGAGCTGGTTAATGGGACTTTGAATTGAAGGATCATGGGCGTCAGAGGAGAACTTGTCATATTCATAGTCTCCTCAAGCCCAGGTACTGGTTCAGGGTGCCGGCAATAAATAAAAGGGAAAAAAAGTGTTTTCTTTAACTAAATTAAAAAATAAAGTGGCACTCCAGTCTCCTTTTCACCTAATTTAACACCTGATTGCTGCTGCCTATTGAAATCACTGGCCACTTTAAGAAATAGAACACTAGTCACTTTAATAATGTTTACATATCTTGCACTACTCATCTCATATGTATATACTGCATTCTATTCTATAATATTCTACTGTATCTTAGTCCATGCCGCTCTGTCATTGCTTGTCCATATATGTATATATTCTTAAATCCCATTCCTAACTAGTTTTGTGTGTATTGGGTATATGTTGTGAAATTGTTAGATATTACTTGTTGGATATTACTGTACTGTCGGAGCTAGAAGCACAAGCATTTTGCTACAGCCGCTATAACATCTGCTAAACACGTGTATGTGACAAATAAAATGTGATTTGATTTACTTAACAAGTAAAGTCATGACATGGCATGGGGGGTTTCCTCTTTTGTCTGTTGCGCCTCAATTGTTCCTCAAGCAAAGGGGGAGGCTGATGACATCACTGATTTCCCATCGGAACCACTCCTTGAATGCCCTACTCTTTGAAGTTTGCAGTTGTCAACAAAACACTATTTTGCTCAAAACTTGTTTTTTTACCCTTGAGTGTGTGAACTTTACTGTATTTATACTTGGGATAATCGCTTTTCAACAGTAAAAGTAAAAAAAATCGCTGCAGGATGTCTGAGGCAGGGAACATCATCATAATACACAAGTAAACTAACGGTTTTTGTCAAATTACTGTGAATTTTACTCAAAATGTAATGGGGAGACACTTGGTTACTGTCATTATGCAAGTAAATAATGGGTTTTTCAATTGAAATTCCACAATATGATTACTGATTTGAAAACAGAAAAAATATATTAAAAAAACATTTGTCTATTTGAGAATCATTAAACCTTTTTATATTAGCATTAATTATGTCACACCAGAGGACAAATTCAAGGCTCTAATGCATGAAATGGTTAATTAATCTGGACAAAACATTTTAAACACAGATGGCCACGAAACATTTGGAATTGTTTAGAACTATATATTTTTGTACTTACATTTTAGAGTAAATATTTTTTCCACTTGTTTTGGCCATATGGCAACTACCCATGTTGTACTCACTGAAAGTGTGCTTTGTGTGCAATCTCACTAAATATTGAATGCTACTTTGCCCCTTAGGGCCACTGTAGTATATTGTCACACATATTAATTCTATGGTGACCCCTCTTATAAATGTAAGCATGTTATGTAATACGTCATAGTCCTTTGTCCACGGGTATCCAATTATTTGCCACGGTAGTCCATTTAAGCCTCTTGCTTCCCGCTTCGCTCAAGGTAAAGGCGTTCTAGTCACTTGGGCAGGGAGTTCTATGGAACTGTTGATGTACTGTAGTGTAGCCTACAAGGTTTAATTCACAGCTTCCATCAGGCATTTATAGCTTATCTGCTTGGATATCACGGTATCTCTGTAATATGATACATCCTAGCACTGAAGCAATACATCCTGAAGCTCATCCGTCAGAAATGTTTTTTTTTTTTCCTTTTTCCTTCTTTCATCTAAACTTCCCTGTAATCACATGATGGGTGAAAGCACTGTTGCTGGTAGGCCTCATCCATATATTGCCTTCATCCTTCCAGCCTTTGATCAGATCAGTACAGATGAAGGAAAGGATAGTCACTGAAGAGTTCTGAGACACACTATGTCTGGGATGGGGGAATGCGGTCCTGTTTTGGAGGAGGCAATATTTTTGCTCCGGCCCAGCACTAACACACCCGATTCAACTAATCGAGGTCTTAATCGAAGACTGATTAGCTTATCATTTGAATCAGTTGTGTTGGTGCTGGGCTGGAACAGAAGAAGACTTTTTTGCTCCGGCTTTTGCTCTAACACACCTGATTGGACTGATAGTAGCGGCCTACATTGAAGATGTAGGTGGATTTGGATCATTTTGAAACACGTGTGTTAGTGCTGGACTGGAACAAAAGCATGCACACACTGCGACCCGAACACCTGTGTAGTGGATGCATGTTGTACTGTACACCTCACAGGCCTGATGTTCCCTTAACTCTTCTTTTCTCATGTCCAGGAGACGCGTCTGAAAGAGGGCATCGTCAAGCTACAGCCCCAGGAGGAACCTCTGCGCTCGGAACTGCTCAGTGGGAAGTTCACTGTGCTGGTGAGTCTAATAGTTTCACGTTTTAATGTCACGTACACAAGTACAGTGAAATGCACGACTGTAAGTCGCTTTGGATAAAAGCGTCTGCTAAATGGCTTATTATTATTATTATTATTATTATTATTATAAATGCCTTTATTGCAAGCTCTAACCCCAACAATTCAGTAATCAAGAACAATGTTATTCTAAAAAATAAGGTAGAACAGAAACACACAAGCCTCCTGTAGCTCAGTTGGTAGAGCATGGCGCTTGCAACGCCAGGGTTGTGGGTTCGATTCCCACGGGGGGCCAGTATGAAAAATGTATGCACTCACTAAAACTGTAAGTCGCTCTGGATAAGAGCGTCTGTTAAATGACAAAAAAAATAAAATAAAAATAAATAAGACCACGATTAAGTAAGTAAGCATACTATATACAGGGTCAGTTCCAGTACCATATTTACAATATGCAGGGATACTGGATTGTTAGAGGTAGATACTGTATGTATAGGGGTAAGGTGACTAGGCATCAGGATATATGATTAACAGAGTAGCAGCAGCGTATATGATGATTGTATGTGAGTGGGTGTGTGTAGAGTCAGTATAAATGTACAGTATGTGCATAATTATGTGTGTGTGTGAGCAAATGATAGAGTGAGTGTTTGTATGTGTGTTGGAGTATCAGTGGGCGTAGTGTGTTGGGCCCTGTGAGTGTGCATAGGGACGGTGCAAAAATAAGAATAAAATACAAAAGTCAACTCTGATAGTCTGTGTAGAAATTTATTTAGCAGTCTTATGGCATGGGGATCGAAGCTGTTCAGGAGCCTGTTGGTGTCAGACTTGATGCACCAGTATCACTTGCCATGCGGAAGCAGAGAGAACAGTCTATGGCTTGGGTGGTTGGAGTCTTTAATGATTTTCCAGGCCTTCCTTTCACACCACCTGATTGTCCGCACCACCCTCTCTAGTGCCATGCGATCGAGGGCGGTGCTATTTCCATACCAAGCAATGGCTTATACGGATAGGGCTAAATTAAAATGTTTCTTACAGAATAAATATGGAAAGCATATGCATAACCATGGTAGCAATTAAAAGGGAACAGTTTGGAGATTATGGGAAAATTCTTAGACTAAAGGTAAGGACACAACAGTTCACCTGACATGACTGAATCCAAACATTACACTGTTGATCTAATGTGCATTTTACATTTACATTTTCACCGCATTTGTTGTTAATGAAATCTCAAAATACTCTGGATACATTCAGTAGTATGATAATAATATGCTTGGAACATTTGGGGTAGGTGAAACATAAGACAAACAAAATGACAAGGGTTTGAGTGCGAGGTCTAACTGGTGCTTCCATGTGGCCACACACCTCTCCAAAGTGTGCACAGTTCCTAAGTAATTTCAATGCACTTTTATGACTCAAAAAAGAGTCTTCAACTATAAGGTGCTTTTTTGAGCTCCCCTAGCTGTGCCATTAAGGAACCAGGGCAAGCACACTTGTAGTTGTTTTGAACACAGCCCTGCATCCCCGCCTTTACACAATTACGGGTACAATTACATGTCTGGGACCAACAGGACCTTGAAAAGCTTCTACCCCCAAGCCACAAGACTACTAAATTGTTAGTTAAATAGTTAACCAATAGCTACTATCTGCATTGACCTTTTTTGCACTAACTCTTTTGACTCATCGCATACGCTGCTGCTACTGTTTATCTGTCCTGTTGTCTTGTCACTTTATCCCTACCTGGAGTGCCTTCAGAAATTATTCGCACCCCTTTACGTTTTCCACATTTTGTTGTTACAAAGTGGGATTAAAATTGATGTTTGTTTTTTTTACGATCTACACAAAAGAAAAATTGGAACGTTTGTCAAACATGAATGAAAAATAAAACACTAATATACACTATATATACAAAAGTATGTGGACCCCCCTTCAAATTAGTTGATTCGGCTATTTCAGCCACACCCATTGCTGACAGGTGTACAAAATTGAACACACAGCCATGCAATCTCCATAGACAAACATTGGAAGTAGAATGGCCTTACGGAATAGCTCAGTGACTTTCAACGTGGCACCGTCATAGGATGCCACCTTTCCAACAAGTCAGTTCGTCAGATTTATGCCCTGATAGAGCTTCCCCGGTCAACTGAGTGTGGTTATTGTGAAGAGGAAACGTCTAGGAGCAACAACGGCTCAGCCACAAAGTGGTAGGCCCCACAAGCTCACAGAATGGGACCGGCGAGTGCTGTAGCGCGTAAAAATCTTCTGTCCTCGGTTGCAACATTCACTACCGAGTTCTAAACTGGCTCTGGAAGCAACGTCAGCACAAGAACTGTTAGTCGGGAGCTTCATGGAAAAGTGTTCTCTGGAGTGATGAATCATGCTTCACCATCTGGCAGTCCGACGGACGAATCTGGGTTTGGTGGATGCCAGGAAAACGCTACCTGCCCGAATGCATAGTGCCAAATGTAAAGTTTGGTGGAGGAGGAATAATGGTCTAGGGCTGTTTTTCATGGTTTGGACTAGGCCCCTTAGTTCCAGTGAAGGGAAATCTTAATGCTACTGCATACAATGACATTATAGACGATTCTGTGCTTTCAACTTTGTGGCAACAGTTTGGGGAAGGCCCTTTCCTTTTTCAGCATGACAATGCCCCCGTGCACAATGTGAGGTCCATACAGAAATGGTTTGGAATGCCGACTGCGAGCCAGGTCTAATCGCCCAACATCAGTGCCCAATCTCACTAATGCTCTTGTGGCTGAATGGAAGCAAGTCTCAGCAGCAACATCTAGTGGAAAGCCTTCCCAGAAGAGTGGAGGCTGTTATGGCAGCAAAGGGGGGATCAACTCCATATTAATGCCCATTTTGGATTTTGGAATGAGATGTTTGACGAGTAGGTGTCCACATACTTTTGGTCATGTACTGTATCTTGATTAGATAAGTATTCAACTCCCTGAGATAATACATGTTAGAATCATCTTTGGCAGCGATTACAGCTGTGAATATTTCTGGATAAGTCTCTAAGAGCTTTGCACACTTGAATTGTACAATATTTGAACATTCTTATTTTAAAAAAATTATTTAAGCTCTGTCAAGTTGGTTGTTGATCATTGCTAGCAACTCCAGTGTAAATTTGGCCTTGTGCTTTAGGTTATTGTCCTGTTGAAAGGTGAATTCATCTCCCAGTGTCTGTTGGAAAGAACCAGGTTTTCCTGTAGGATTTTCCCTGTGCTTAGCTCTATTCCGTTTCTTTTATCATAAACTCCTTAGTCCTTGCCGATGACAAGCATACCCATAACATGATGCAGCCACCACCATGCTTGAAAATATGAAGAGTGGTACTCAGTGATGTGTTGTGTTGGATTTGACCCAAACACTTTGTATTCAGGACATAAAGTTAATTTCTTTGGCACATTTTTTGCAGTTTTACTTTAGTGCCTTATTGCAGACAGGATGCATGTTTGGAATATTGTTAATCTGTACAGGCTTCCTTCTTTTCACTGTTTTAAAGTCACCATTGGTCTCATGGTGAAATCCCTGAGCGATTTCCATCCTCTCCGGCAACTGAGTTAGGAAGGACACCTGTATCTTTGTAGTGACTGGGTGTATTGATACACCATCCAAAGTGTAATTACTAACTTCACTATGCTCAAATGGATATTCATTGTCTGCTTTTTATTTAATTTTTACCCATCTACCAATAGGTGCCATTCTTTGCGACGCATTGGAAAACCTGCCTGGTCTTTGTGGTTGAATCTGTGTTTGAAATTCACTGCTCGACTGAGGGACCTTACAATTATCTGTATTGGTCGGGTACAGAGATGAGGTAGTCATTAAAAAAATAATAATGTTAAACACTATTATTGCACAGAGTCCATGCAACTTATTATGCGAATTGTTAAGCATGTTTTTACTCCTGAACTTATGTATGCTTACCATAACAAAGGGGTTGAATACTTAAAAAATAACATTTTAAAAAATCCAAACATTTCGAATAACATTATTCCACTTTGACATTATGGAGTATTGTGTGTAGGCCAGTGACAAAAAATCAAAATTTCATTCATTTTAAATTCAGGCTGTAATACAACAAAATGTGGAAAAAGTCACAACTAGCTAAATTATAAAATACTATCTTACAGTTTTAGGCTTTCACAAGGCAATTCAGAGAAGCAGATTTGTAATTTTGATGCGGATAGAATGGAGTCATGAGTAGGGCTGTTACGGTGACACCACACCGGTGGTCATGACAGCAGTAAAATTCCATGTGACCGTTTAGTCACGGTAACTAGGCATCTCCAAGCTCTGATGCTGCTGATGGTCATTAGTAGCCTATCAAACTTGCTAACTGCCTTGTATTCAGCACTCTATTCTCCCTCAATCACTCTGACATCAATGCAAATCAAATCAAACACTTTGAGAGACCATGAGCTCATGTTGCGCAACATTTCTATATGCTATGCAATTGCGTGGGAAAACAGAGTGATGGCCTCTATTAAAAAGAAGATGATCCCATCAGCGTTCTATAGGCTAGGCCTACTATATTTATTTATTTATTTATTTATTTATTTATTTATTTATCTATTTATTTATTTATTTATTTATTTATCTACCAACTTTCCTAATATTAAGTACATTGCTTCGCTTTACAACAGGAGTATAGCCTACCTGGCTGGCATGAAAATGCACCACGGGAAACGCGTCCTCCATTCGCTATTTAAGTGCATTTAGTTTTTTCATACATCTGTTCCGAGACAGGTGCATGTTAATGGTCCATTCTAAATCAAAACTAATTTCACACAATTATTATACTCTTAAAGGGAGTGCTCCTAATCTCAGCTTGTTACCTGTATAAAAGACACCTGTCCACAGAAGCAATCAATCAATCAGATTCCAAACTCTCCACCATGGCCAAGACCAAAGAGCTCTCCAAGGATGTCAGGGACAAGATTGTAGACCTACACAAGGCTGGAATGGGCTACAAGACCATCGCCAAGCAGCTTGGTGAGAAGGTGACAACAGTTGGTGCGATTATTCGCAAATGGAAGAAACATAAAGGAACTGTCAATCTCCCTCGGTCTGGGGCTCCATGCAAGATCTCACCTCGTGGAGTTGCAATGATCATGAGAACGGTGAGGAATCAGCCCAGAACTACACGGGAGGATCTTGTCAATGATCTCAAGGCAGCTGGGACCATAGTCACCAAGAAAACAATTGGTAACACACTACGCCGTGAAGGACTGAAATCCTGCAGCGCCCGCAAGGTCCCCCTGCTCAAGAAAGCACATCTACATGCCCGTCTGAAGTTTGCCAAATGAACATCTGAATGATTCAGAGGAGAACTGGGTGACAGTGTTGTGGTCAGATGAGACCAAAATCGAGCTCTTTGGCATCAACTCAACTCGCGGTGTTTGGAGGAGGAGGAATGCTGCCTATGACTCCAAGAACACCATCCCCACCGTCAAACATGGAGGTGGAAACATTATGCTTTGGGGGTGTTTTTCTGCTAAGGGGACAGGACAACTTCACCGCATCAAAGGGACGATGGATGGGGCCATGTACCGTCAAATCTTGGGTGAGAACCTCCTTCCCTCAGTCAGGGCATTGAAAATGGGTTGTGGATGGGTATTCAAGCATGACAATGACCCAAAACACACGGCCAAGGCAACAAAGGAGTGGCTCAAGAAGAAGCACATTAAGGTCCTGGAGTGGCCTAGCCAGTCTCCAGACCTTAATCCCATAGAAAATCTGTGGAGGGAGCTGAAGGTTCGAGTTGCCAAACGTTAGCCTCAACCATAATGACTTGGAGAAGATTGGGAGTGGGACAAAATCCCTCCTGAGATGTGTGCAAACCTGGTGGCCAACTACAAGAAACGTCTGACCTCTGTGATTGCCAACAAGGGTTTTGCCACCAAGTACTAAGTCATGTTTTGCAGAGGGGTCAAATACTTATTTCCCTCATTTAAAATGCAAATCAATTTATAACATTTTTGACATGCGTTTTTCTGGATTTTTTTATTGTTATTCTGTCTCTCACTGTTCAAATAAACCTACCATTTAAAATTATAGACTGATCATGTCTTTGTCAGTGGGCAAACTTACAAAATCAGCAGGGGATCAAATACTTTTTTCCCTCACTTTTTAGGTGACGCGTGAGTTTCAAGTTTGGGGAAGATAATTTTCACCATAAAAATTCAGATTTTATAATAAAGCATTACATGCATAATCTCATTTGCGGTCACTTTTGAGAACAGTGTTTTCCCCCTAATTGATTGCATTTTGGAACATTCGCGCTTATAGCCTACTGCAGTGTGTGCATTGCTGCGCTTATAATGTAATGTCAAGACAACTCAGGGTATAACACAATGTCATCTTGTAACGGTATATCAAACATAGTGATCATAAATGTTGACGCTGTACACTGAGTGTAGAAAACATTAAGAACACCTTCCTAATATTGAGTTGCCCTCAGAACAGCCTCAATTCGTCGGGACATGGACTCTACAAGATGTCAAAAGTGTTCCACAAGGATGCTGGCCCACAGTTGTGTCAAGCTCGCTGGATGTCCTTTGGGTGGTGGACTATTCTTGATACACACAGGAAACTGTTGAGCATGAAAAACACAGCAGCATTGCAGTTCTTGACACAAAACAGTGTGCCTGGCACCTGCTACCATACCACGTTCAAAGGCACTTAAATCTTTTGTCTTGCCTAGTCACCCTCTGAATGGCACACATACACAATCCATGTCTCAATTGCCTCAAAGCTTAAAAATCCTTCTTTAACCTGTCTCCCCCCATTCATCTACACTGATTTGAAGTGGATTTAACAAGTGACATCAATAAGGGATCATAGTTTTCACCTGGTCAGTTAATGTCATGGAAAGAGCAGGTGTCCTTAATGTAATTTACACTCACTGTATATGACATGAGTTTTATGATATGGAAATGTGAGGTGCACATTTGGACTGTGGTGTTTGGCTTGCTTGTATGACATCAATGCGGTATTATGATCCTCAACGTCTCATCTTTCAAAAAACATTGAGTCCTCGTAAGTTACAGCATTTCCCTCACTCAAGCAACAACAAATGTGCAAAAGCTGCCAAATTAGCGGGAGGATGTGGGAAACTTCTTGTCGTGCGTGGTGGTCAAGTTCAGAACGGCTGTCAGTGAAAATTGTTACAGAGCTGTGAAGCAGAGTCCCTGAGCTCTGATGTCATGTATAGCATGTTACTGTACAGCCACTGCGTTCCAATTTAGGCGCTTATCAGTGTCGAAATCTGACATTTTCAACCCATATACGGGTTTACTACTGCTACTGCTGCTACTACTACTACTACTACTACTACTACTACTAGAAATTGTATCAGAAATTGGATTGGACGTTGAATTCAAGATGGTATTTTATAGTAATTCACAATTGTGAATGATAATGGTAAACTGCGCAGAGTTTCAGCAAGAATCTGGGGGGGGTGGGGGGTGGTGTGTAGATATCAGAATGTTGGGTGTATGGTATTATTTAGATGACTGTTGGAATGGGTTAATAATAACTCAATGGTTCAAATAGAGAAGTTAGGGTCCTTCAATGTAGTTTGTCTTGGACTGGGATCAAGTGTGGTAGTGAAGGGTCCCTCCCTCTCTCCCTGCCCTCCTTGCCAGGAAATCTGAGTCAGTCGACAGGGCTAGAGCTATGACAGCTGATTGTCACAGATCCCTCTTTTCTCCCCCCTCCCTCCCCATTGTCACGCCACTGCCAGTCTGCTGCATCGATTTGAGACAACCTCCTTCCTCATAGAAAGAAGACTTCCACCACTTCAGCACTGGCCCTCTGTCTGTATCCTGTCGGGTATTTTTAGTAACAAGGCTATTTTGCCCTCAAATAACAGGAGTGTCCAGGGCCCGTATTCATAAAGCGTCTCGGAGCAGGAGTGCTGATGTAGGATCAGGTCTTCCCTGTCCATGTCATCTTATTCATTATAATCTAAAAGGCCAAACGTATCTTATTAGGCACTCTCACTCTGAGACACTTTATGATCTGTGAATAATTGCCTTTTTTGGGCAGAGGGTAAATAAATTAGTCAAAATAGTCACTCAATCCACTTTTTGGATGCTGGGGTGAGTGTCAATTGTGGCGAAATGTATTGTATGCTCTTCACTGTTGCGGTTCAGACTAGAGACTATTCAGTTGAAATTCTGTCATTTTGAATAGGTCACACAGTTACGCACAGTGCACGAACAATGTCCTTTCATTGATACTCCAGTAACCTGGTAACTTGTTTTAATGAAATGGGACCCTAGTTTTAACAATGGTTGCCTCTTAAGTGGGATGTCCCATTCATACTGATAGTTTCATACAAGTCACTCCTTCAGAGATATGAGGCGGCGCCCATTTTAAATCTGACTGTGAACCCAGGCGCCTCCATCTGGCCAAAGCTCTCATTGCTTCTCGTGGTCATGTCCACTCTGCCACCTTGTGGTCAACCTGAACCCAGACCCCATTTTAGATACTTGGACCTGCAGGCTGGATCCAGTGTGCAACTAGTTCTGGATGCACTTCTTCTGTAAACTGTATGCACCTCTGTCAGAATACCACTTACAATTCCCTGTGTATTTATATCAATGTAGAAAATGTGAAATGAATACTAAATTAAACTTGCAGTCCCCTTTTTTTTTTTTTAATGACTTCTGATTTGTGATGCTGCTTGTTCTCCTAATTTCCTCACCTAAGGTGCTGTATAGAATCTCATTCGAATGTTAGGGCTGTTGGCGTCTGTGCCTAAGCGGTGCAGCCAAGAAGCACACCCTAATCTCTCCTTCCTTTTGACCCGTCTCTGTTCTGTTCTACTAGAGTGTGCGAGACCCATCGGGCGCCTCCATAGCCTTGTACACAGCCAAGCTCCACCACCCCAACAAGACAGGCAACCATGTTGTCCTACAGGCTCTCTTCTACCTACTGGACCAGGCTGTGGAGAGGTGAGAACAAAGATGCATATATTATAATATATATGTCATATAGCAGACACTTTTATCCAAAGTGACTTAGCCATGCGTGCATACATTTTTTTACGTATGGGTGGTCCCGGGAATCACACCCACCATCATGATGTTGCAAGCGCCACGCTCTACCAACTGAGCTACAGAGGACCAGTATTAGCCTATTATGTGTTCTGTTCAGTTATGTGGATGAGACTCCGGCTTAAATGACTGGATTTTCTTTTTCAATAAAAGGAAATTGATCAAGACCATTGGGTAAAGAAAACAGACAAATTGGACGAAATATGAGACATGTTGGTGTTACACTGTGACAGTGTGTTGTGAAAGTGTGTGTAATGTGTATGACCTGACAGTTGATTTTTGAATCTTTATTTTACGCCACTAATTATGTGCAGCTGTTAGCGCCTAAGTCATGCATTATAGTGCATTATGCAGAGCACAAGGCATTATAAATATGCTTATAATGTATTATGAAGAGGGTATTACCAACATTTTTTCTTTCTCTCTCTCTTCCCCTAGCTTTGAAACGCAAAGAAACGGCCTGGTGTTCATTTACGACATGGCGGGCTCCAACTACACCAACTTTGAGCTGGACCTCAGCAAGAAGATCCTCAACTTACTCAAGGTTAGAACGTACTGAGCCAGCGTATTGTAGTAGTGTATCAATATCTGTTCACCAGGCTAATATGTTGACAAAAATGTACACTGTATGTTTCTGAAAAAGTGGCCAGGATTGCGAAACCGTTCCAAAACTGCAGCTCTGCTCTCCTCTCCCCCAGGGGGCGTTCCCTGCCAGGCTGAAGAAAGTGTTGATAGTGGGCGCCCCTGTCTGGTTCCGCGTGCCCTACAACCTGCTGAGCCTACTACTTAAGGAAAAACTCAGGGAGAGGGTGAGTGCAGTGGTATAATTCTCACTATGGGCAGAATCATATCTTTAGAAACAAGCACCGAGTCCAACTATAACTGTCAAGAATGTGTGACAGTGACAGACGCTTTCCTCCAAACCGACTAACTAAGTATATGTGGCCCATGCAAGAATTACACTCACAACCCTGGTGTTGCTAGCACCAAGCAAGCTGTGCCATCAGTTGCCATCAAAACACAGTGGTTTTTCAGATGCAGCATGATGGAGATATGTTCTGGCATGGTGCCTATCCTCCCAGTGCAGAGCAAAGCATGGCCCCTGTGTCTCTAAAGACATTGCACCAGTAACCCCTTTCACTCCCTGCCCTAGTTTGGGAACATCTTCTAGTAAGGAGTGCGCTAGTAAGGAGCAGATAAACACTCCTGGGACCTGGGGATGATCATTATGATCCCTTCCAGTGTATAAAACCTGACATTGGAAGGTGAACCGCTGTCCACCCCTGCAATGTAATTGATACACAAGGCACTTCCTCAGCTGTCATGATTGATGGATTCAAGGTGTCTCCACGGTGACCTCTACACAGGAAGTCACTCCCCTCAGGGAAAGCGAACGTTTTGGGATCAGGAATCTCCACTGCAGCATCCAAAATGGCACTCTACACCCTATATAGTGCACTACTTTTGATCAGAGCCCTATGGACCCTAGTCAAAAGTAGTGCACTATATAGGGAAAAAGGTGCCCTTTTAGACTCAGTCCATGTCACTGTAGATTTCACTAAACATATGACAAATCTTTCACTTGCCTCTGATAGATACAGTATGTACTGTATCTCTTAAAGCAGATTAGTTAAGAAGGCAGTAGGAGAGTGATTTGATTTTCCTCACCAGAACTAGGAAGACGATTGAGTTAGTCATTGATGATCTTGTTTAACTTTAACCTGCATCTTTTCATGAACTGGAGAGGAGGTCATGATATTGAGTGCTTGGTGTTATCACCACAATCACATTATTCATTGATGAGATGACGTTTGTAGAATGGCTCTAATATGCAACATCAGAACTGGAATCCATTTATTGATCGGCATGGGAGCATAAATGAAAGCACACTGTTTTTTTCAGTGTTTCCCAAACTCGGGCCTGGCAGCTTTGATTATTTCAATCAGCTGTGTAGTGACAGGGCAAAAACCAAAACGTGCATCCAGGGTGGGCCCCAGGAATGAGTTTGGGAAACCCTGGTTTTATTCATCGACTTCCTATTTTTTTCAAATCGAGTCACATTTTCAATCTGATGTCTTGTCCCATGATTCATTTAATGGAATGAAATCAACCTAATCCCCTATTATTGTACAGAATCCATTTAGAACATCCTCAAGACTGAAACCTACAGCTTACAAATCAGGATGTCCTAAAAAAGGATTCCATACTTGTATTGACATGTGGTCCAGTTTGAATGACGTGAGTGTGTTTCGAAACGGAGCAAGGATGTCATTTGACTGTGGTAGGTGAAGCCCTCACTCTCTCCTACCTCCTTCCCCTCTCCACTCCCAGGTCCAGATGGTCAAAATGTCTGACCTCCGCCAGCACCTCCCACGGGACTGTCTCCCTGAGCACCTGGGGGGGCTGCTGCCCCTGGACGCCCACGGCTGGAACCAGCAGCTCCTGGCTGGGCATAACGGCCGCGTGGATCCCGTGGATGAGCTGGTTGGCATCCCCCTGGAGGACTCGTCAGTCCACAACCCCGGGCCGGAGGCCATGCGCCTACCTGAGCTCGTTGCCCACCTGGGCAGGCTCCAGCGCTCAGGCATCCACCTGGAGTATGAGGAAATCCGCAAGGAGCAACCACCAGGGACATTCCACTGTGCCCTGTGAGTAGATGGGTAGAAGCACTTTTAAAGGGTTAGCTTTGGGTTAGTCTACATTTCCAGGCTTTTGAGCTGCACGGGGAGAAGCCTAGACCGTTAAGACCCGTATTCACAAAGCGTCTCAGAGTAAGAGCTGATCTAGAATCAGATCCCTCCAGTCCATATAATCTTGTTCTTTATGATCTAAAAGGCAAAACTGATCATATACCTGCACTCCTACTCTGACTCTTTGTGAGGCCCATGAACCCTCACTGGGTTAAAAATGAGAGGAGACTATGTGGGTTTATCAATTAAACCAAGCAGGTAGCTTAGTGGTTAAGAGCGTTGTGCCAGTAACCGAAAGGTCGCTGGTTCTAATCCCCGAGCCGACTAGGTGAAAAATCTGTCTGTGACCTTGAGCAAGGCACTTAACCCTAATTGCTCCTGTAAGTCGCTCTGGATAAGAGTGTCTGCTAAATGACTAAAAATGTAAGAAGCAAAGCATCAAACTGGGTGGCAAAACTTTGCACCAGTCCCTTGGAGTTGGAACTTGATGTAATGTTTTATGATATTCATAAATCACCACTGGTTGATTTGTATCTGTCAAAATCTCTCCAGTACTGCATACAACCAGGAGAGGAATCGCTATGGGGATGTCCTGTGTCTTGACCAAACAAGAGTTCGCCTGGTAGCTAGACGAAACGAGGTGTGTACTTCTCAAAAGTCAAATGACAATGTCATCATGCAGTTACAAAGTTTACAGAATCATAACATAAGAGATATCAGTAACACTTTCTAGGAACCACCTGTGCATAGTGCATACAGTGCCTTCACTAAGTATTCACACCCCTGACTTATTCCACATTTTGTTGTTAAAGCCTGAATTCAAAATGGATTAAATATTATAATTGTTTTCGTCCATCCTACACAATACCCCATAATGACAAAGTGAAAATATATTTGTTTAAATGTTTGCACATTTATTGAAAATGAAATACAGATATCTCATTTATATAAGTATCCACACCCCTGAGTCAATACTTTGTAGAAGCACCTTTGGCAGCAATTACAGATTTGAGTCATCTTGAATATGTCTGTATCAGCTTTGAACATCTGGATTTGGGGATTTCTCCCATTCCTTGCAGATTTTCTCAAGCTCTGTTTAGTTAGATGGGGAGTGGCGGTGAACAGCAATCTTCAAGTCTTTCCACAGAATTTCAATGGGATTTAAGTCTGGGCTTTGGCTAGGCCACTCAAGGACTCACATTCTTGTGCTGAAGCAATTCCAACGTTGCTTTGGCTGTATGCTTTGGGTCATTGTCCTGTTGGAACGTAAATCTTCGCTCCAGTCTAAGGTTGTTTGCACTCTGAAGCGGGTTGTCATTGATGATTTGCCTGTATTTGGCTCCATTCATTGTTCCCTCTATCCTTACCAGTCTCCCAGTCCCTGCCGCTGAAAAGCATCCCCATAGCATGATGCTGCCACCATCATGCTTCACGGTAGGGATGGTGTTAGACGGGTGATGAGCTGTGCCTGGTTTTCTCCAGACATAGCGCTTTGCATTCAGGCCAAAGAGTTCAGTTTATGTCGCATCAGACCACATAATCGTTTGCCTTATGCTCTGAGTCATTCATGTGCCTTTTTGCAAACTCCAGGCGTGCTGTCATGTCCCTTTTCCTCAGGAGTGGCTTCCGTCTGGCCACTCTCCCATAAAGCCCAGATTGGTGAAGTGCTGTAGAGACTGTTGTCCTTCTGGCAGGTTCTCCTATCTCAGCCAAGGAACTCTGTAGTTCTGTCAGAGTGGTCAGTGTGTTCTTGGTCACCTCCCTGACCAAGGTCCTTCTTGCCCGGTTGCTCAGTTTGGTCGGACGACCAGAGTCTGGCACAGTCTGGGTAGTTCCATATTTCCCAATGATGGAGACCGCTGTGCTCTTGGAAACTTTCAACACTCTAGAAATTGAAACTTCCCCAGATATATGCCTCATCACAATTATATCTCAGAGATCTACTGACAGTTCCTTGGACTTCATGGTATAGTTTCTGCTCTGAATATGCACTATCAACTGTGGGACCTAATATACTGAGTGTACAAAACATTAGGAACACCTGCTCTTTCCATGACATGGATTGACCAGGTGAATCCAGGTGAAAGCTATGATCCCTTATTGATGTCACCTGTTAAATCCACTTCAATCTGTGTAGATGAAGGGAATGAGACCGGTTAAAGGAGGATTTTTAAGCCAACATGACACAACTGTGGGAAGCATTGGAGTCAACATGGGCGAGCATCCCTGTGGAACGCTTTCGACACCTTGTAGAGTCCATGCCCCGATGTATTGAGGCTGTTCTGAGGGCAAAGGGGGTGCAACTCAATATTAGGAAGGTGTTCCTAATGTTTTGAACACTCAGTGTATAGACACAGGTGTTTCTTTCTAAATCATGTCCAAACAATTGAATTGGCCACAGGTGGACTCCAATCACGTTGTAGCGATAGTTCAAGGATGATCGAAGGGAATTGGAGTGTCCATAGCAAACGGGTGTGAATACTTACACTACTGGTCAAAAGTTTTAGAACACCTACTCATTCAAGGGTTTTTCTTTATTTTTTTCTATTTCCTACATTGTAGAATAATAGTGAAGACATCAAAACTATGAAATAACACATGGAATCATGTAGTAACCAAAAAAGTGTTAAACAAATCAAAACATATTTTATATTTCAGATTCTTCAAATAGCCACCCTTTGCCTTGATGACAACTTTGCACACTCTTGGCATTCTCTCAACCAGCTTCACCGGGAATGCTTTTCCAACAGTCTTGGAGTTCCCACATATGCTGAGCACTTGTTGGCTGCTTTTCCTTCACTCTGCCATCCGACTCATCCCAAACCATCTCAATTTGGTTGAGGTCGGGGGATTGTGAAGGCCAGGTCATCTGATACAGCACTGCATCACTGTTTTTCTTGGTGAAGGTGTGTTGGGTCATTGTCCTGTTGAAAAACAAATGATAGTCCCACTAAGGCCAAACCAGATGGGATGGCATATTGCTGCTGAATGCTGTGGTAGCCATGCTGGTTAAGTGTGCCTTGAATTCTAAATAAATCACTGACAGTGTCACCAGCAAAGCACCCCCACACCATAACACCTCCTCCTCCATGCTTTAGGTGGGAAATACACATGCGGAGATCATCAGTTCACCCACACCGAGTCTCACAAAGACACAGCAGTTGGAACCAAAAATCTCAAATTTGGACTCCAGACCAAAGGACACATTTCCACCAGTCTAATGTCCATTGCTCGTGTTTCTTGGCCCAAGCAAGTCTCTTCTTATTATTGGTGTCCTTTAGTAGTGGTTTCTTTGTAGCAATTCGACCATGAAGGCCTGATTCACACAGTCTCCTCTGAACAGTTGATGTTGAGATGTGTCTGTTACTTGAACTCTGAAGCATTTATTTGGGCTGCAATTTCTGAGGCTGGTAACCCTAATGAACTTATCCTCTGCAGCAGAGGTAACTCTGTGAATGAATAGGTGTTCTAATACCTTTGAATTAGATATTTCTATATTTCATTTTCAATAAATTTGCAAAAATGTCTGAACATGGTTTCACTTTGTCATAATGGGGTATTGTGTGTAGATGGGTGAGATTATATATATTTTTAATCAATTTTGGATTCAGGCTGTAACACAACAATGTGGAATTAGTTAAGGGGTAGGAATACTTTCTGAAGGCATTGCCTTGCATCAAGGACAAAGTGCATTAGAAGACTTGCTGTAAGCATTCCCATCTTTGTAAATGCACATATGCCTACGCATTACATGTGGTTCCTAGAACTTTAAATATTAATTTAAATGTTGTATTAATCTTAAGACAAAAAAACACATAACTGAGCTATATTGTCGTATGTTTGTATTTAATAGACTCTCCATCTCTTTCAGCCTCTAATAGAATGTTGAAAGGTCATCTTTGGTTCAGGTGCTTGTAAAATAAAGCCTTTAGTTTTACACTCAGCAGGCTCACCAAAGCCCTCTGATAAATGGCTCAAAACCACCTTGATAGCGCTATATTTCTATACACTACATTCCTTTGGCATTTGTCCAACAGGGCTCTATAATGTTATCTGAATTGCCACTGTACAGCTTTGATGTTTTAAGAGCCCTATTCTCTTGGTCGCTGTGACAATGTCCTGTTTGTTCCCACAGAGATCGGACTACATCAACGCCAGCTTCATGGACGGCTACAAACAGAAGAATGCGTACATCGGTACTCAAGGTACAAAGATGGCCGTCTATGACACCTGCTAGTTTCACCATCAGAGACTTTTGCACAAATAATTGTTTATGGGATATTAATTCATTTGTAAGAGGTTCCTTTGGTTCTCAAACTATTGGTATTTTAGTAACGCTAAAGTCGACAGGTATAATGCATTATGATGTGGTGTATGCATTGGAAGACTTGTCATAAGCATTTATGACCCCCTGATATTTAACTAAATCATTTTGAGTCAGTTGAAAATGTGATGCATAAAGACACATTTTAAATGCCCAGTGCAGTCAAAAACGTGATTTTCCTGTGTTTTATATATATTTCCACACTGAGGTTGGAATAATACAGTGAAAATGATAATAATGCCCTTTTAGGGTAACAGCCTGTTTTGGTGGGATGGAGTTTTGGCCTGCCTGGTGACATCACCAGGAGGTAAATTAGTTAATAGACCAATAAGAAAGAGTTCCAAACCTCTCGGCCAATAACAGCTAGTTTTCAGTTTTCCTTTCCCGACTCAGACCACTCCCAGACAGTCCTAGCAAAATTCTTGCTTGAGAAATTGCTCTTGCTAAGAAGCTGTTTTTGTTTCTTTTTGACCATTTTCATTGAAAACAATCACAGTAAAGTACTTAATTGTTACCCAGATTTTATATTTAGATCAAAATGGCTACTTTGGGCATTTAACATATAGCATGTTATAAGTGGATACGACCGCGATGACCAGACGCTCTCGGACTATGAGAGAAAACGTAGTCTGATGAAAAGAGTAGCAGTGTTCTCTGGGGTGATCCATGTCAGGGCCAAAATGTCAAGGGACTGAAGGGCAGCATAGGCTGAAATGAACTCTACATTCTTGACCGCAGAACGGCAGTTCCAAATATTGCCAGAAGCTTTAATTTCGGTGATTACTAGTGAGCAGGACACAGTCAAGAAACTGTATAAATGTAGGTCCATTATCATTTCTACACAGTTTCAATTTGGTTTTTGTCCTTTTAAAGTATTTTAGTTCAGGAATTGGCGTAAGCAGCATGAGTCCATAGCCCAATCCTGCCTGGCATCAACGGTATAGGCTGGTAGTGTAATGATGTGGGGAATGTTGTCCTAACATGTTTGGTCCCTTGATACCAATTGAGCAACGTTTCCATCCCCCAAATAATTCAGGCTGTTCTGGAGGCAAAGGGGGGTCCGACCTGGTACTAGGTCGACGTACCTAATAAACTGGACACTGAGTGTCACACATACACAGGCTGTATGTTTGACACCACTGCTTTATGATGTCTTTATTATAAGGTATATCACAAGTAGTTAATTCCCTTCATTCTACTCTGCTGTCCATAGGACCACTGGAGAAAACCTATGGGGATTTCTGGAGAATGGTCTGGGAGCAAAACGTGCTAGTCATTGTCATGACAACAAGGTAGTTCATCTTCTTACATATTTGTTTTACTCAGTGGGATTTGAAACTATATCAATTCTTAATTGTGGCATGAAGTAGAGTATTGTTGTTAAATGAGTCATTGACATTTGGAATTGTTGATATGTGGTGACTGTTGTGAACCAGATGCAGATGTAGGTTACAATGGGGCACTTCCTAGAGGTTCTTGAGTTCTAGAAAGATCGTCAATACCCTCATGGAGATAATTGATCTGCGTGTTGCAGGACGGACGAGGGAGGTCGGAAGAAGTGTGGTCAGTACTGGCCTCTGGAGGAAGGCGGTCAGGAGGTATACGGTCACATGGCTGTGGTTAACCAGAGAGTGGACAACCACTCCCACTACAACCAGACCACCCTGGAGCTGCACAACATGGAGGTACAGTATCTAGCTACAGGTCTAAAGTGACCTCTGCTCCCTTTACCCAAGGAAGAACACATGCTTTCCCAACGCTGAATTTGTATTTTTTCCAAGGACAGAAATCTGAGATTATCTAGCTATAGCACACACTACTATCTCTTCTCAAACTGTTGGCTAACATCAAAACTTCCATCAAGTTTGAACATGTAAGAAAACGATTGCAAAATATTGGTGGTTGTTCACCCATTTGAAGCTCATCTCATGGGCTGTGTGTGTGTCTGTCTGTACTGTCCTAACCAGAATTGTGAGCAGAGGCGGGTGACCCACTTCCAGTACCTGAGCTGGCCCGACTACGGTGTCCCCACCTCGGCCGTGACGCTCATCGACTTCCTGGGGGCCGTCAAGAGGCAGCAGAGGCAGGCAGTGAAGGCCATGGGGCCCCAGTGGAGGGGCCACCCCCTGGGACCCCCCATGGTGGTTCACTGCAGTGCTGGCATCGGCAGAACAGGTGAACTATTCATTCTCACTGACGACCACCACTCCTTTAGTCTATGCGTCAGACTCATTCTAGTCCTTGAGTCCCAAATAAAGACACATAAAACATGACATCATAAAGGTTCATACATGCTTATATCGAGAACTTAATTATCTTCTTTCCTCCCAATGTGTAACGCACAGAATGAAATATAATCTCTATGGACAGTCATAGGTGTCACCTCAATTTCTCTAATAGGGATTCTATTTCTATGGCCATCACCTTGGCTATAATGTATGGAGGCCATAGTGAACTAAAGTTATTCCTGCATTTTCCCCACAACAACACATCTGTTAATAATGATGTTTCCCCCCTTCCCTCTCCTGTCCCCAGGTACCTTCTGTGCCCTGGACATCTGTCTGTCCCAGCTGCAGGATGTGGGGATGCTCAACGTGTGTCAGACGGTGCGGCGGATGAGGACACAGAGGGCCTTCACCATCCAGACCCCCGACCAATACTACTTCTGCCACAACGCCATCCTGGAGCACGCTCAGAGACAGGGCCTGCTCTCAGCCAATCAGTGATGCCTGGGGGTCGCCTCGTAGTTCTCACAGCCAATCAGTGATGCCCTGGGTGTTGTCGTAGCCAATCAGTGACCCTTCTCGCAGCCAATCCGTGAATCCAGGGGACACTTTGTAGCCAATCAGCATGCCTGCTTCTAGCAAATGCCATCACTACTTCTTCCCTTTTAAGAGGCCTTTAAGACTAACTCATTCCTCCTTCTGACAGAGCCACAGTTGTGATGAAAAATGTTAGATAGATAGTAACACTTAATAACATACAAGACACAGCAACCTGGCAACAAATGTTGTCAGTTTTGTGTCTTCTGAGGAAGATTTTGAATCATTACGTGGCCAATCGTTCTGTGTCTATGCGAGTCTGTCGTTAGTGTTGTGACATACTGCACACATCATTCGTTTTGGTGTCTTGTGTGATCCAGGTACTTAGCAGTAACCGATGACATGAACTTTGCGCTCATCATCCTTTTATAAGAACCTACCACTTCTGTGACCAGTTCAGTGACCTCGAAGGCCTTGGTAATGTTAGACACGAGTGTGTCTCTCTCTCTCTCTTGCTCTCTCCTGCTCTCTCCCTCTCTCTCCATCCTCTATCCCTCAAAGACAGTGAAAGCAAAGAGGAATGGTATTGGAGAAGAAAGTAATAATACGTTAAAAAAAATATTTTGCCTCTTGGTATTGTCGTCGTGATCTTAGCGATTCGAGGGTAGAACCCCACCTGGGACGAACCCAAACCCCCCCCCCCGCCCCCCTTAACTTCTCCTGGGCCGATTGAATCGAATGGCTACATGTAGATGTTGCCCCTAAGATGCATGCGGACTTCTCATCTTACCCTACCCCCAATCCAAGCCTCAACCATTGAGAGATAAAATGCATAGATGACCTTAAGTTCAACTTAAAGTAATACTACACATATAACTTTTTTTGCGAGCGGCTGATAAAGTTGCCATCTCAATGCATTTCATGCAGATCGAAGAATTAAGAGCTGGCCTCCTTACAACACATGAACCATCTGACTTCATTCTGTTATTGTAAGTCATTCACATTGGCTGTTCAAACGTTCCTTGTGAAAATATTGTAGTGATCGTGACATTAAATGTTTCGTCGCAGTTGCTTTCACTCAGTAGTCGTTCCGTATGCTTCAGTTGTGTCATGTACGTCTGTTGAGCAGCCTATGCTGCGATGGACATGGTATAGGAAGGCCATGACCCTGCTTCCGCCTTAAGACACCAGTCTTAGACCTCACCTCAGTAAAGTGCAATAGACTTTTATACACAGCCATGTTGAAGCACTTTGTGCTTTTAGAGATTACAGTTCTTGTGTTGGTAAAGTGCATTTAAGGTCAAATTACAATTATAGGAGATTGTATACATATACAGTGCCTTCAGAAAGTATTCACACCCCTTGACCTATGCCACATTTTGTTACAGCCTGAATTAAAAATGGATTAAATCTATTTTTTTCTTACCCATCTACACACATTACCTCATAATGACAAAGTGAAAACATGTTTTTAGATTATTTATTTTTTACATTTATTGAAAATGAAATACAGAAATATCTCAATTACATAAGTATTCACGCCCCTGAGTCAATACTTTGTAGAAGCATCTTTGGCGGCGATTACAGTTGTACGTTTTTTGGGTAAGTCTCTTAAGAGCTTTGCACAACTGGATTGTACAATCTTGGTAAGCAACTCCAGTGTAGATTTGGCCTTATGTTTTAGGTTATTGTCCTGCTGAAAGGTGAATTCGTCTCCCAGTGTCTGTTGGAAAGCAGACTGAACCAGGTTTTCCTCTAGGATTTTTCCTGTGCTTATAGTTGTATTCCATTTATCTTTACCTTAAGAAACTCCCTAGTCCTTGCTAATGACAAGCATGCCCATAACATGCTTGAAAATAGGAAGTGGTACTCAGTGATGTGTTGGATTTTCCCCAAACATAACGTTTTGTATTCAGGACAAAAAGTTCATTTCTTTGCCACATTTTGTTTTGCAGTATTACTTTAAGTGCCTTGTTGCAAACAGGATGCGTGTTTTGGAATTTTTGTATCCTGTACAGGCTTCCTTCTTTTCACTCTGTCATTTAGGTTAGTATTGTGGAGTAACTAAAATGTTGTTGATCCGTCCTCAGTTTTCTCATATCACAACCATTAAACTCTGTAACTGTTTTAAAATCACCATTGGCCTCATGGTCAAATCCCTGAGCAGTTTCCTTCCTCTCCAGCAACTGAGTTAAGAAGGACGCCTGTATCTTTGTATTGACTGTGAGTATTGATACACCATCCAAAGCCTAATTAATAACTTCACCATGTGCAAAGGGATATTCAGCGTCTGCTTTTTAATTTTTTTACCCATCTACCAATTAGTGCCCTTCTTTGCAAGGCATTGAAAAACCTCCCTGGTCTTTGTGGTTGAATCTGTGCTTGAAATTCACTACTCGATTGAGGGACCTTACAGATAATTAATTAAATGTGGGGGGTACAAAGATGGCGTAGTCATTCAAAAATCATGTTAACCACTATTATTGAACACGGAATGAGTCCATGTAACTTATTATGCAATTTGTTAAGCACATTTTTACTCCTGAACTTATTTAGGCTTGCCATAACAAAGGGGTTGAATACTTATTGACTCTATAGACATTTCAGTTTTAAATGTTTAATTATTTTCAAAATGTTTTCCCAAACAAAATTCCACTTTGACATTGTGTGTTGATCAGTGACACAATCTTAATTTAATCCATTTAAATTCAGGTTGTAACACAACAAAATGTGAAAAAAGTAAAGGGGTGTGAATACTTTCTGAAGGCACTGTAGGTATAACTTGATTGTTACTGTTGATTGGACCTTCTGACTTACAGTGCATTCGGATAGTATTCAGACCCCTTCACTTTTTCCACATTTTGTTACGTTACAGCCTTATTCTAAAATGTATTAAATAAAAAAAATGTCCTCATCAATCTACACACACAATACCCCATAATGACAAAGCAAAAACAGGTTTTTAGACATTTTTAGCTCCGAGCCAGGATTGTGTCGAGGCACAGATCTGGGGAAGTGTACCAAAACATTTCTGCAGCATTGAAGGTCCCCAAGAACACAGTGGCCTCCATCATTCTTAAATGGAAGAAGTTTGGAACCACCAAGACTCTTCCTAGAGCTGGCCGCCCAGCCAAACTGAGCAATCGGGGGAGAAGGGCCTTGGTCAGGAAGGTGACCAAGAACCTGATGGTCACTCTGACAGAGCTCCAGAGATCCTCTCTGGAGATGGTTATCCTTCTGGAAGGTTCTCCCATCTCTGCAGCACTCCACCAATCAGGCCTTTATCGTAGAGTGGCAGACAGAAGCCACTCCTCCCGCTTGGAGTTTGCCAAAAGGCATCTAAAGGACTCTGACCATGTGAAACAAGATTCTCGTCTGATGAAACAAAGATTGAAGTCTTTAGCCTGAATACCAAGTGTGTGGATGTTTTTCAGCGGCAGGGACTGGGAGACTTGTCAGGATCGAGGGAAAGATGAACGGAGCAAAGTACAGAGAGATCCTTGATGAAAACCTGCTCCAGAGAGCTCAGGACCTCAGACTGGGGCGAAGGTTCACCTTCCAACAGGACAACGACCCATAGCACACAGCCAAGACAACTCAGGAGTGGCTTCGGGAAAAGTCTCTGAATATCCTTAAGTGGCCCAGCCAGAGCCTGGACTTGAACCCGATTGAACATCTCTGGACATACCTGAAAATAGCTGTGCAGCGACGCTCCCCATCGAGCTTGAGAGGATCTGCAGAAAATAATAGGAGAAACTCCCCAAATACAGGTGTGCCAAGCTTGTAGCGTCATACCCAAGAAGACTCGAGGCTGTAATCGCTGCCAATGGTGCTTCAACAAAGTACTGAGTAAAGGGTCTGAATACTTACAGTACCAGTCAAAGGTTTGGACACACCTACTCATTCCAGGGTTTTTCTTTATTTTTACTATTTTCTACATTGTAGAAATAACACATGGAATCATGTAGTAACCAAAAAAAGTGTTAAACAAATAAAAATATATTTTAAATTCTTCAAAGTAGCCACCCTTTGCCTTGATGACAGCTTTGCACACTCTTGGCATTCTCTCATCCAGCTTCACCTGGAATGCTTTTCCAACAGTCTTGAAGGAGTTCCCACATATGCTGAGCACTTGTTGGCTGCTTTTCCTTCACTCTGCGGTCCAACTCATCCCAAACCATCTCAACTGGGTTGAGGTCGGGTGATTGTGGAGGCCAGGTCATCTGATGCAGCACTCCAACACTCTCCTTCTTGGTCAAATAGCCCTTACACAGCCTGGAGGTGTGTTTTGGGTCTTTGTCTTGTTGAAAAACAAATGATAGTCCCACTAAGTGCAAACCAGATGGGATGGCATATCGCTGCAGAATGCTGGTTAAGTGTGCCTTGAATTCTAAATAAATCACTGACAGTGTCACCAGCAAAGCACCCCCACACCATCACACCTCCTCCTCCATGCTTCACAGTGGGAACCACACATGCGGAGATCATCCGTTCACCTACTCTGCGTCTCACAAAGACACGGCGGTTGGAACGAAAAATCTAAAAGTTTGACTCATCAGACCAAAAGACAGATTTCCACCGGTCTAATGTCCATTGCTTGTGTTGCTTGGCCCAAGCAAGTCTCTTATTATTATTTGTGTCCTTTAGTAGTGGTTTCTTTGCAGCAATTCGACCATGAAGGCCTGATTCACGCAGTCTCCTCTGAACAGTTGATGTTGAGATGTGTCTGTTACTTGAACTCTGTGAAGCATTTATTTGGGCTGCAATTTCTGAGGCTGGTAACTCTAATGAACTTGTCCTCTGCAGCAGAGGTAACTTTGGGTCTTCCATTCCTGTGGTGGCCCTCATGAGTGCCAGTTTCATCATAGCGCTTGATGGTTTTTGCAACTGCATTTGAAGAAACTTTCAAAGTTCTTGTAATTTTCCGTATTGACTGACCTTCATGTCTTAAAGTAATGGTGGTC